TATACTATACCTATGCATTTGGTTTTTCTTGCCTAAATGTAGAGTAAGTACATTGCAATAGTCAAGATGTTTAAGCATGAATTAGATTCCCATCTGTTGAGATGGCTGTAATACTGATTTCCTGCCCTGGGCTAGATCATCTTCTTCAAGCTGCTACTTAGATTCTATGATTTCACTGCTAAAAAATACTGAGTAGACTGCAACCACTGGTATCTTTAGCAAAAATGAAAATGAAAAGAGTCATGCAGGTGAGCAGGTTTATACCCCTTTCATCTTTAATTCAGTGGATTTTTAAGTGTCCTCCTCTTCCTGAGTGTGTGCTGCTGACTCTTAAAGGATCAAAGTGGTAGGACATATAATTTATATGTAAGAAGGATCAGTTCAAGACTAAAAAGCGTCTGTCAATCACTTTGGATAATGAGGATCTAAGACTATTCATCTGTTTCCACAAAAATTAATGCTTTGTATTCTAAAATGGGGTGGAGGTAAAAGTGTCTCCTTCCTTCCTTCTTTCCTTCCTTCCTTCCTTTTAGGGCCTGGATGGATCTCTGGCTAATATGCATTCTATAGGTTTGGAAAACGCCCTCTCCTTTTGTTCAGCGGCATCCAAAACTTGCCAGGAAATGAGAGAGAAAAGGACCTTTAAAGAGACAGTGATTTTTTTTCTTCTCTTGGAAATGTTCCATATTATCTGAGCTTAGGGGTTTTTGTTTCCTCACTGAGCTACATTCTTCCCCCAATTGAAGGAGTCTTCAGACTAGAGATTGCTATCACATTGTTCTTCAGACATGTTAAGGATTTCCAGTTCTAAATTGTTTACCCTAGATACAGTTCTAAAATTACTAGTTTCTAGTTGAGATGGTGCAAGTGTTAATAACGAAGTGTTTTTCACTTTTTTCTTTCAGTATTTGGAACATCCTTACATGGCTGCTAGAAATGACCATTTCTAAAATGTGTAGCTTTTCCAAACTTTAAGTATGTTTTACATGGATGATATAAGACTAATGCATATAGATCCTGGTGAGAAATATATACTTGGATGCATGGAAAAGTTTTCTCCATGCAGTATATCTTGAAAAAGATGTTTGATACATAAGGAAGAAAAAAGGTGATTGAGAAGTAGTGTCCTCTTCCTCCTCCTCCTCCTCCTCCTCCTCCTCCTCCTCCTCCTCCTCCTCCGGGACTGGACTGTTGAATTGCACTACTGTATTGCACTATTCATACTAAGCCAAAGAAATCACTATTATTATTATTCTGCTTAAAACAAATAAGGTTCTATATATGCCGTGATACGATACAGAATAAAAGATGGTTACAGTTTTCCTAGACATGTATCCCCTTTTTTTTTCTTTCCTTCATGTAAGCAATTTCCTAGCCCTTCCAGCTATGACTGAAATTGGAATGTGGGCAAATATGCTTTGGTGGGGGGGTGTTTACGGTTCCAAAACGTGTGTTTTTCTGCCCCTCCCTCACAAATAGCAGAACGAAAGGAAGCTCTATCAACTCATCACTGTTGCAGAATAATAGAAAAATTGTGTTCTGTCCCTTTGCATAATCTAACAGGTTGCAGAATTCTGTACTTCCATAATGTAGAAAGTGGGTCACTTTCGTTTTATTTTATCGCAGAGCTTTTGTTGGGAAATGATAAAATGACATATTTTAGCTTCAGTAGACAGCCTACACTAACACTTCAGAATGATTGCAAACAATTTGCACTGCTTTAGGGGTATGATTGCTAGGGGGGGTTTTTTGTTGTTGTTTTTTAAAATAGGGAGCTTTGTTCACCTAGTTAATGCCTGGATAAGATCATCAGGAATCCCAGGGCTGAAGGATGAAATGGCAAGTGGGAACACATGCTAGAAGAAGTCAGCGACTGCTCCCAAGAAAACTGCAGGGTTTGATCAATGTAATCATCAGGAGCCATGCTTAGTTCAAAGTCACATTACCTTGCATTTGTACCACAGGCTGCAGTGAGGTGTGGAAATGGGCAGCCAAGCTTAATGCTTTTACCAAAGCATTGCAAGCATCTAGACATCAGGCTGATGCTAAAACAGGAAAACTCAGGTTATGCCTGCTTGGGCAGCCTATATGCTAAAATTGGAACAATACAGAGCAGATTAGCCTGGCACCTATACAAGAATGATGTAGGGTTTGGCGGGTGGAACAATTTGCCTTTTGAGAAGCTTTCCAAGGACTCTGAAATGAGATGCAGGGCAAAGGAGTGAGACAGGACTAAATTTGATTTCAACTAAATGTTATTAAAACGATAAATTAAATGCAGTTAATGCTGTTCTTCCCTATACATTTCTTCATTTATCCCAGTTTGGCAATGTTAAAAATTCAAGATTTGTTCTTAAAACAGGAAGCAGCATACAAATGTTTTAAATTACAATTTAGCATTTTGATTGTTCTTATACTGAAATCAGGGGTAGGCAACCTTGGCTCTTTTATGACTCGTGGACTTCAACTCCCAGAATTCCTGAGCCAGCCATGCTGAGGAGAAAGGGAGAGGTTTCCATGCTGAGCCATGCCGGCTCAGGAATTCTGGCAGTTGAAGTCCACGAGTCATAAAAGAGCCAAGGTTGCCTATCCCTGGATAGGAGCAGGTAAAGTCTTTCCTTTTTCTGATTATTTTGCAGTCAATCTCAAAATAGATGCTATAGTGAGTTTTTCCAGTTCTTCCGTGCTCACTAAAGATTTGATTAGGGAAATCTAGTGAAAACTTAACAATTGGCTGATCAACTTCAGAATGAAATTTTGTTTTGGGCAGACATAAATGAAAAATTAAAGACTGAGATTAAGGATAGTAGAGGAAGAGATAGTGAGAAGATTTTCTTTCTTTCTTTTAGATGTTTTGTAGTTTTACATAACAGAAAGATGGAACGTTTAATTGGGTTTCATGAAGTTCGTCTTAACTTATTTCAAGGACCCTTTTTCATGCAAATTATACATCCTTGTTTAAACCAGTGCAACTTCCCTAGTGATGAGTCCTATCAAAATTAGCTCACACCTGTCTTTGTATCTTCGAGGAGAATAAATATAAAAATAGCGCTGAATTTCCATTTCTGTATATTCTATTCTTTCCCCCTGTCCAATACAAAAAGAAGAATGTTTTTTAAAAAATAAATCCGTGCCTCCAGGCTATGATTAAATGAGATTATTAGGGTTGGGTAAATTTTGCTGCATGATTTTAACTGTCAAAGTAGCACCTATTTGCAGTTTGCAAAAGTCTCTGGAGAAATAAATGTATCGGTGTTCAGCCTGGAGAGGAACGGTAGGAAGAGATATTTAATCTTGGCTTTCTTGACATCAGTTTAGCAGTCGGCAGTTTCCAAGTTATTACAGGTTTGCCAAAAGTACCATTAGCTAGAATCTGGCATGAAACTTTTAGGGATTTAATGTGGGTTTTGTTTTTGGTTTTGTTTTTTTTTTGTAAAAGCTTTTGCAAAAGTTCGTTGGAATTTAAAAGAAAGTAAGGTGTCCCTTAATGCATTAACTTTCAGGAACACTGGTCATTGTTCCTTTATGTTGTTGCCAATTTTTCTTTTTCTTTAAACTAATCTTATGTTATAATGCAGATAAACTTCCAGAATTGTTTCTCCTTCTCGTTGAATCCATGCTTGCTGACATATTGCTGCACAATATGATTCATTCTATCCATTCTTTGTCCTTTCCTAGTTGATTAAGAGGATTTTTATTACTGACTGATTAATCTTGGTGGCTTTTGCTGGATATTAGATTTTCTTCTCTGTTGACAAAATGTCGATGCCTTGAGTGTGAAGCTTCTGTATCAATATATAATCTCAACTGAAAACATAGATCAGTTATGGAATGCATTAAATTAATTCATTAATCACAGGTTCTGTGTGAGAAAATAAGTCTCCAATATTTTTTATCCATTTTCCTCTATTCAAATATTTGAAAATAAAATCAGTTGTTTAGATAGATAGATAGATAGATAGATAGAGAGAGAGAGAGAGAGAGAGAGAGAGAGAGAGAGAGAGAGAGAGAGAGAGAGAGAAGGCAGACAGGAAGATAGACAGACAGGAATTAATAACCATTCATTCATAATGCTTCTATTACCAAGCCTGGATTCAAACTACAATCTTTCCAACAACAGTGCTATTCCTAAAAAATACAAAATGATTTATTTCTCATAGATCATATCAAGATTTTGTGTGATTCAATTCAATTTTTTGAACTGATCATAATTGGTAGGGTTCAAATGACAAGCTAAACCAACATTCATAGTTTAAAAGTGATAATGGAGAAGCTCACCAAACCAATGATCTAAAACCAAACTGAACTCTGCTGTATAGACCATTAGAAACTTGTGTAATCCATAACTGTAGTTGGTGATCTTCTTCCCAATGAAAAGCAAATCTTGAAAGAAAACTATCCTGATCCTGATTTGGTGTGCCAATGAGTTCCTTATTCTATTCTCAACTGTTTTCTCAAGTGCAGACAGAGAATTCCCTAGTAAGAATGTTAGCAATTTTGTGTCTGAAAATTAGTCTGTGTTGTTCATAGGATCACAGGATCAAGCTATCCAGACCAGTGTTTCTTAACTTTGGCCACTTTTAGATATGTGGACTTCAATTTCCAGAATTCCCCAGTCAGCCATGCTGGCTAAGAAATTCTAGGAATTAGTCGTCATCATCATCATCATCATTCCCATACATTTTGAATAAAAAAATCTGGATTTTTTAATCGTATAGATCATGGATGAATTTTCCACCTGCCTTAGTTTTTTAAATAAGAATCAATTGTAAGGTCCTCCTACCATATGCTCTGCTTGAATACATGGACTCAGAAAACTCATTTATGCATTTTGCCTTACTCTTTTTTCCTCTTAATCTTACTTCAACTTTACAGATATGAAATTGTCCAGAAATTATTCTAACAACAGATGTCCACTGCCAGATGTTTATATTTTCATGCGCAATTATCTTGAGATTCATTATTAATGTATTATTTTATTTTATTTCCCCTTGTCTTAGGTATGATTATCGTGAAATGCTGCACAATGCCACTTTCTGTCTGGTCCCCCGTGGCCGGAGGCTTGGATCCTTCAGGTTCTTGGAGGCCCTGCAGGTAAAAACAATAGACATTTTAGTTCTATTTAAACTTTTTTTCCCCTCAAGTAAAATTCTGTCCTGGGTATTAAAGTGGTAGGGAAAGGAAGAGGAGAAGAGAGATTATATTTCAGTGGAATGACTTGCCTTCAGAAATTGTGTGTGCTCCAACACTGGAGAATTTAAAGAAGAGATTGGATAGCTATTTGTCCGGAATAGTATAAGGTCTGCTGCTTCAGCAAGCGGCTGGACTAGAACTGAGGGCCCCAACCCCCAGGCCATAGATCAGTAAGGGTCCATGGCCTGCTAGGAAATGAGCCTCACAGCTGGAGGCGAGAGGCAGGTGAGCGAATGAAGCTTCATCTATATTTGCAGCCACTCCCCAATACTAGCATCACTGCTGGAATGGAACAATTCACAGCCGCTGTCTCACTTCTGTCTGCTCATGTACATGGCAAGGGAAGAATGTATGGATTCGCCCTCCAAGAGAATGTGTCTCCTCCAATCTTTCCCCCCCGTATGATTAGCCGAAGACTGCTGGAACAGCATTGGAGAATTGAAAGGGCCTAGGTGAGGAGAGGGAGTGAGGGCTGGAGTAGGAAACCATGCATGTAATTGAGTATATTTACCATAACTATTTCACTGATTGGCAATTAAAAGCACACCCTCCTGAAAGAGGATTTCCACTGCTTGTTCTGAAGAACTTAAAAAAGGCTTGTAAAAGGGAAAAATAAAATGACAAAATTAAGGGTCCAAAAAAGTTGGTTTTGCAACATTCCTTCCTTCCTTCCTTCCTTCCTTCCTTCCTTCCTTCCTTCCTTCCTTCCTTCCTTCCTTCCTTCCTTCCTTCCTTCCTTCCTTCCTTCTCTCCCTCCCTCCCTATCACATATTTAAAAGATATGAAGTTCCACGAAGAGATTTGGATGTTTTGGGGTTTTTTTTAACTGAGATGTGTGCATTTGAAGACTTAACACTATAAATTTTTTACACTTCCACTGAAGTGGAATGGGAAAACATGTTTCAGTTTTTAGCAGTCCAGGTCAATGTGGGCTTTGAGGTTTATATGGAATCACAGGTTTACAAAATTAGCCTAGTTTTTCACACTGCACGCTAAATAAGTCTTAAAAGGTAATTTCTGTTTGTTAGACATTCTCAGGGAAAGGAAGCTGCAGGACAAAGTGGATGCATAATTAAAATGATGCAAAATAAAACAATTTACCCACTCCATTCAAGACATGTTTTGGAGAATTATCTTGCTGCTATAAAGTCTCTGTTTGACAATGCAGTGACACGAGAATTTTACAAAAAAGATACTAAAAATTGCACAGTTAAATATAGGAAGCAGAATTATCCAGTTCACACAGCATGCATTTCACTTATTTTTTCCACTATCCCTAACATCTGTTTTCGCCCCTAATCCTAAGCCTAGTTTAATTTTCTTTGGCAATAGGATTTTCCCATGGATTTTACTGTGGTCCATAAAGAAGTCTGAACAAAAAGCTATCATCTTTGCTATCCTTACATAAGTCCAAGAAATGAGATGCCACTATCGCTGTCTTTAGAGAACCACTGAGAAAGCATCCCTAAAATCAGTTTTTGGCCATGAGTCAAAGGAGACCTAGCCCTGATTCTAACACTATTCCTACCCTACTTTCATTTTCTGTAGTCCATAAAGAAATCAGAAGAAAAGCTATCACGTGCTCTTTCCTTAGAGAACCTCTAAGAATATATCTCTAACATCAGTTCTTGTCTCTGATTCCAAGCAAACCTAACCCTAACTTTAACACTTACCTTACCCCTAGCACTACTTTTCTTTTCATTGTCAATCACATTTTCCCATGTAATTTACTCTGCTCCACACAGAAGTCCAAACAAAAAGCTGTAATCTTCGCTATCCTTAGAGAATTTCTAAAAAATCTATCCCAGACATCAGTTTTTACTCCTGTCTCCAAGGAGATCTAACTGTAACCCTAATTTCAATGGGTAATGGTAATTTGCAGTCAGATTTTCCCATGTATTTTACTGTTGTCCACACACAGGTTTGAATGAAAAGCCGTCATGTTCTCTTTCATTAGAGAACCTCTAAGAATCTATCCCTAACATTAGTTTTCGAATCTAATGTTCGAAACAAAAAAATCTAACCCTAACATAAACTTAATCCTAGTTTCATTTTCATTGGCAATGGGATTTTCCAATGCATTTTACTGTGGTCCGTGTTCCCTTTCATCAGAGAACCTCTAAGAATTTATCCCTAGCATCAATTTTCAGCCCTGACTCCAAGGGGATCTAACCCTATCCCTAATTCTTAACATATTTTCATTTGCAATGGTGACGAATATTTTCATTTTCATTGAAAATACTATTTTCCCATGTATTTTACTCTGGTCCAAAAAGAAGTCGGACAAAAAGCTGTCACATTCTCTTTCCTTAGAGAACCTCTAAGAATCTATCTCTAACACCACTTTTCGGCACATTTTATTTGTTAAAAATCCCAGTCTGTATTTATGTAGATCAGTGGTGGCGAACCTATGGCACGGGTGCCAGAGGCGGCACTCAGAGCCCTCTCTGTGGGCACGCGCACCATCGCCCCAGTTCTAGGCCTTCAGCTGGGTTTTATAAAACCTTTTTGCTTTAGGCCTCTGCCGCCGTGTACAAAAAAAAAAGTTCAATCAATAGTCAATTTCAACTTCTCGCGGGAAAAAGAAAAGATCTTGCAAAGTTGGAATTGATTGATTGAACTTTTTAGTCCCATCCAGTCTGCTGTTATCACTGCAGCCACGCCCACCCAATGGGCCACACCCACCCAATGGGCCACACCAACCCGGCACCTGATGATGCATAAGTGGTTTTTGGGTTGCAGTTTGGGCACTCGGTCTCTAAAAGGTTCGCCATCACTGATGTAGACCATGGGATCGTGATGGGTTGGACACGACTTCGCAACTAACAACAACAAATTTATGTAGAATATCCCAATCAATTGAATCACTATTGAACCACTCTCATCACATCTGTAATTTTTTTTAATGCATGTGTAAAGATGTGTTGCCAAAGGATTCTTGCTGGTGGAAGGTTATTTCTACAAACTCCTCTTTCTGGAAAAGTACAGCTTGTTAATTGTTCGTTGAAATGCCATCTTAACAGAATAAGAATTGGAAGGGAACTTGGAGGTCTTCTAGTCTTCTAATCCAACTCCCTGCTTGAGCAGGAGACCCCATACCATTGCAGAAAAATGGTTGTCCAATCTCTTCATAATAACCTCCAGTGATAGAGCACTCACAACTTCCTAAGGCACATCATTCCACTAATTAATAGTTCTCACTGTCAGGAAATTTCTCCTTAATTGTAGGTTGCATCTCTCCTTTGCTTTGGAGAATAGGTTGATCCCCTCTTTTTTGTGGCAGCCCCTTAAATATTGGAACACTTGCTATCATATCACCCACTAGTCCTTCTTTTCATTGAACTAGGGCATACCCAATTCCTGCAATTGAATCTTGAAACTGTCCACCCCCATATTTTTTGTACAGGCTGCCTGTATTCCTGTGATGCTCAGCAATGGATGGGAACTTCCGTTCTCAGAGGTGATTAATTGGAATCAAGCTGCCGTCATAGGAGATGAAAGATTGTTACTACAGGTAAGGCGTGGGCAAATGGCGGGGAAGTCTGTTGACAAGAGCAGCCATCTTCTCTACTTTCAGGAAAGATACATCCAAAAGGTCATGGCCATAAAAGAGATTTTTATCAGCCAGGATTTGTCTGTGTCATTGTGAATATTAACTCATTTAATAAAGCATTATTCACTTTCTGACATGAAGGTCATTCCAGCTTCCAAATGTCTTGATTAAAAATGTAGCGGCATCTGTTATTTTTTTATATATAGGTGTGTGGAAGAGCTCGAGTTGAAAGCTCTTGCATACAAAAGTGATTTGCAGTGTCAAAATATTTATAGTCCTGATATTTCTCATCCTAAATTAGGGTTTGGGGCAACCTACATATTATTCTCACATGTGTTTATCTCTAATTCTGAGCTCTTCCTGAATTTAGCTTCTAAATATTAAAAAGCACTCAAGATACATATTTAAAAGCTTCATGTTTTACTGTTGAAATATCTGCAGTATTTTATGAGCCTTTACAACGGTACAGAAGATTTAAGTTGCTTCGAGCCACACCATGAAATTTGAAAAGTGCGACATTTGGTAGATAACTAAGTTCTGATTCATATTTGATTGATTGATTGATTGATTGATTGATTGATCACGTTTATATGGCTGCTCATCTCACAGGAGTGATTCTGGCTGGTGTAATATTAATCCGGGAGATGCAGATCCCCCTGCTTACATGTAGAAATGTACAAAAATCAAGATCCTCATTTATTTCTGCATGAGAGTCTTCCAGTCTCTTTTCTCTTTCTCTTAACTTTTGTCTTCCCCTACCAAATATTTACTAGATATCCTTAAGGTTTGGAAATCCTTCCCTACTTTAATAAGAGTCATAGACATTATAGCTGGAGGGCACCAGAATGGAAAAGGCAAATGTAATTTGCATGGTTTAGTTCCATGAAGAGCAGAATGATGGGTGTGACTGTTGTATGCAATAAAGAGGGAAGAGTGACTCCCTTGTTCAAGTCAACCTCTGTCATAATTTTTGGGAAGAAAAAAAAAACAGAGGCTGTTTCACTTCCTTTCATTTTGGTGTTTTGTAAAGACTCGGCATCCAGTGAAAAAAAAAACAAATTACTGGATTATTCTGGGATATTGTTCTCTCCTTTGCAAATCTCCTTTGAAGAATTTGGAGCTAATCTCATGCTTTTAAACACTTAAATAGAAATGAAAGAAATAGCCCAAATCACTACTTTTACACTAATAGAGGCTATTGGGTCTTTCTTATAAGTAGTCCTCCAGTTATAACCATTTGTTTCGCGACCATTCCAATGACAATGAAAAAGGTAACTTGTGATAGGTCCCCACACTTACAACTGCCGCAGCATTCCCATGATCATATGATCAAAATTTGGGCGCTTGGCACAACCGGCCTGTATTTGCAAGAGTTGCGGCATGCTGTGGGGTCAGGTGATCAACATTTGACGCCTTCCTAGTGTTCGGACAAGCAAAGACAATAGGAGAAGCTGAATTTACTAAAACAGGGGTCCTCAACGTTGGCAAATTTAAGACTTGAGGACTTCAACTCCCAGAATTCCTCAGCCAGCTTTGTTGACTTCAACTCCCAGAATTCCTCAGCCAGGTTTATTGACTGAGGAATTCTGGGAGTTGAAGTCCACAAGTCTTAAAGTTGCTAAGGTTGAGGACCCCTGTACTAAAAGACCCCATGATACACTTAACAACTTTAGTGATTTCCTTAACGACCATGGTGAAAAGGTCATGACATTTGGCGCGACTCACTTAACAACTGTGTTGCTAAGCAGTGGAAATTCTGGTTCTAACTGGTGGCAGGTCAAGGGCTACTTGTATTTCTACCACTGGAAAAAAAAAACCTGTCATCCAAGGAAAGTAATTTTGTGGCTTAAGCCCAGTTCTTTTCTGAAAGAGTATTTCTGGATTCAGAGCTACTCTCCAATTTGTTAGAGGAGGAGGGAGGAGAGGGAAGATGCCTCTGAGACCCTTTTAATGGGAGACTTCAAGGAATAAACCTGAATTCCTTTTCATGCGAGGCACGTGCTGCACCCGCCAGGCGTGTGACCAACATATATTTAAATCTGGCAAAAATGTAAAAATCTACACCATGCCTGACATATTTAGCTGCCGAAGGTAAGAGAAGAAGGCCGTGCAGAATTCCAAATATCTATGAATGTCCCCTGCCTCCCAAGAGTACATTAATATTCTGATCTTTGTTGTTTCCTGTAATGCAGAATTGATTATCTTCACAGCTGCTTCCTTACTAGAACAGCTACTATACTATTATTAACAATGGTTTTTAAAGAGCTGGCGTGAAGCCCAAATGTCTGCTTTGGGAAATGTTTTTGTTGCATTACAGTTTTTCATTTCCCAGTTTAGATGCACTCGGATGTTTTTATTTACATATTCTCCATACTGTCATGCTGCTCCAGCTTCAGACAGGCTGAAGCCACTTTCCCTGTTGTCATTTTAGCGTCACTTTTCTCCTTCCTTGTTGTGGTATCCGTGGCCTGCTATTAAGGCATCATCCTGTCCTAATAATTCTCTTGTATTCATAGCACGTCAGCATCAACTCATCCTTGCCCGCACCCTTCTTGTAAGCCAAGAGATGAAGAGTAAATAGCTAAAGGAAATTAAAAACAGAAATCCCAGTTTGTGTTGTAAGTGAGCCAACATGTAAAGATAGGCTGCAGAGAACACAAGCAGTCCTCTGCTAATTTCCATCACTAAGGGAAGTGGTTGTGAAGTAAGCGAGTCACACTTGTTTTATGATCTTCTTCCCATGGTTGTTAAGTGAATCACTGCAGTTGTTAAGTGACCTTGTGCTCATTTAAGCCAAGCCAACTTCCCCCGTTAAGTTTGCTCTTCGGAAACCAACTGGAAAGTTGTCAAATGGCAAGTCATGTGATCCTCCAGGATCCTCAACCATTGTAAATACATGTGCCCAAATTTTGATCATGTGACCATCGGGATGCCGCTGTATGTGTGAGGATTGGTCATAAGTCACTTAATACTGTTGCAATTTTGAACGGTCGCTAAACAGATAGTTGTAAGTTGAGGACTACTTGTATTCTAAGCTTGCCTCTCCTCACTTCCCCATCAAACTTTGAAGATATCAAAGATATCCCTTTCACCCAACTGTTCTTTTCATATGCAGAGATAGATAAAAAGATTTATCTCAAGATTTGAAGAAAAATAATGAAATGCAGTCAATTAAACATAATGCAGAACTTTTTATTTATTTATTTGAATTTATTAGCCCACCCCCAACTCCAATGGACATATAACAAATGCTTGCCTAAAATGTAAATGTTACCAAAATCTACCTGAAAATTCATACATTCATGCCAATTTATAAATTCACAAGATTTCTTTGCTGGGCGCCTTAGAATTGCAAAACCAATTAAATAGGCTGACTTTAAAAAAAAAAAATAAGCTGCAATTCTAAATGGACTAAGTAATGAATAGCTCCAATTGAAAAGATAGGGTGTTAGGACCAAATGTGTAATATTGCACAGTTAAAAGTTTATTGTACATGAGATATGATGTAATCTCTTGAAAAAGTAGCTAATCTATTTTAATTTTATCAGTAAATGGGATTTATCTTTTCTGCATAATAATAAATAATTTTATTTCCATATTTCTTTCCTTTCTTCTACCTATCTCTCCCTCTCGGTGCTCACTCCTGTAAAATATGTGCTCAGTCAAAAACCACCTAGTGAGCTTCAGGTTTAAATTCAGGATTTGAACCTAAATCTTTCCCATCCTGGATTGAGAGTTAATCATGTTGATTCCCTGGCTTATTAAAGTATGAAGACATTTAGCTTCCTATTCAGACCACACCATTTAATTAATTATTTTATTTCTTAAGCTAAGCCTACTTTGGTAAAGAGCTATCACGCTCTTTCAAGAAAATGTAAAGCCAACCTTAAAACCAGAGATATTAAAAAGCTCCAGTGTAAAAGAGTTAAAATTAATTGCGCAAAGCCTGTTTTGGATATTTTAGGCTTCTAGTGTAATGGGAAATGTATACTAAAGAACTTAGGCTAGACCTTGAGCCTCCATTCATTATCTCAATCTCAGGTTACATGGAAAAGGTGTTCTCAAGTGGTCTGGAAGAAAGCCATATAAAGTTTTAACAATAATGGCCATCGGTTTCCATTTCACTCAGCAAAATAAATAAATAAATAAATAAATTGGCGGGCATTTAGCCCAGGTGTAATGTGGTTTCTTTCGAGTGGTGTGGTGGCCTAGAGGTGGAGCTCTTGCCTCACAATCAGGAGGCTGTGAGTTCAATCCTAGCTAGTGGCAGATATTTCTTTCCTGGTGCAAAGAGAAAATATCTACTGTGAGCTATGTGTAGGCGTCAGGAAGGGCATCCGACCAGTAAACGCTCAGCTCCATTCAGTCACCATGGCTCCATCCCAATGCAAGGGATTACAGGGTCATTAAAAGAAAAAAATGTGGTTTCTTTCAGTCCTTTAGGAATCCAACCAGCTGCTGTGTTCTGTGCTAGACAGAACCAGTCTATGTGGTGTGTCTTATGCTTGATGGGCCTGGAGTTTGCCCCACCCTCATCACTTTAAGGACATTTTCCATCCAGGAAAGAATGTCCTAGCTCCACTTTAGAAAACCAGAAAGAGATCACCATCCAATGGCATTTTTCAGACTGTTCTTTTGAAGGGAGTATAACTCCATTTAAAACCAGGAGAGTCACAACTTCTCCAGAATTGTGATTCCTTATAATGTGTACCTCTGTGTCTGGATTCTGTTTCAATTTATAATCAGTCATCTAGCAATAGCAATAGCACTTAGACTTATATACCACTTCACAGTGCTTTACCGCCTTCTCTGAGCATATTGCCCCCAACAATCTGGGTCCTCATTTTACTGACCTCAGAAGCATGGAAATCTGAGTCAACCTTGAGCCGGTGAGACTCGAACTGCCCATCTGCTGGCAGCCGGCAGTCAGCAGAAGTAGCTGCAGTACTGCATTCTAACCACTATGCCACCAGGGTTCTTAACAATCTAAATAATTGTTAAGTGTAGTCATGATATAGAAAAATACATTTGGGTTCCACCAGAATATTGATAGTTCTAAATCTCCTGATGTTCTTTTTCATTTATTCCATGTACAGTAGATACTTAAAAATGACGAAGACAGAATGGACTCAATCCTTTATCTAAAGGACTCCATCCACTCAACTGCTTGTTTTAAGAAAGTTAAACTAACTGAAATCTTTCTTCTAGATTTGTCAAATAATCCATAAGGATATCATGATACCAAAAGATTTGAACATTAGGGAAAACAACCCTTTCCCTGACAGCCTCCAGACAAAGATCGTCATGAGAAAAATCAATAAAATCTCAATCCTGTAATCTCCTTTAAAGCTATGTTGAAATGGGTTAAGATTTTTCATCACCAGTTGCCATATTGTATGAACCCAGCAACCTAAGTTTAATGGTAACTGAGATTAACAAGGAGATGCCATAAAAAGTTACATAAAGAGATAAAAACCAAAAATAAGCAAACTTGAGACTGATTTACAAAGCTGGTATGTTTAGCCATAGTTGAGATTCAGCAGCAGTAGTTTCAGCAGCTGTGTGTAAAGTACAGGCAGAGGCCTTTGAAATAATCTTCTTGGTCAAACAAGAAGAAAAGAGCAGGGAAGTAGTTATGTTCCTTCATGAATCTCTAAACCGATATTTAAAGCCATATTCATTGTCTTGTTATCCAGAAGTCATTTCACCAGTAAACAGCAGCTGTGAAAACCTACATTTTTTTCACCAAATCATTGTTTACCATGAACTGTAACAAAAACCACTGGCTCTAAACAGTCATATCTTCAAATCTCATTCATTGAATGAGTCTGGATTCCATTTAAAGATAGTGGATAAGTCTTGCTCCTTACAGTTATAGGACTATATTCCTTATGAAGCACTTTCAGGCCATAGCCCGCACATTTCAGTGGTTCAGTGTTGGTTTAGTCCAGGAAGATCTTCACATCCCCAATAAATGAAGACACGATCACTTCAGTGTTGACTTATCTGAGTAATTGCTGCCTTCTTGCATTGATGGATGCAATGTAATGTGAGAAAGACCCTGGGGAGAGTGAGGAAGAACTGCTGCCTAAGGAATATAAGTGAGGCCATAGCCTGCAGCTGGATAATGGAAGTAGCATGAGGTTCCAAAGGGACTCTCCCTAGCTTTCTGGCTGTAAAGGATGGGGGGGTGGGAGATTTGTACTTTCAGACTTGCAAGATTCTGTTACTGTCACCTTACAATGAAATAGAATTAGCTCATCTGCTCATGTTTCCTGTATGATCTACTTGGGAAGCTTGACAGTGGGTCTCGTATTCCCATTTTTAGTTTTCTTGTGACCCTCGTTTCAATAATAGATTTACAGATTGTTAAAATGATTGTATATTGGCCTTCTTCCACATTCAACAGAGTGGCTAATTGTTGCCACCTTTGCATGAAGAAAGCCAGTATGGCTCCTGCTTCAGAGGAAATGGTAACGAAATTTTGCAATGCTCTTCTTGGAGGTGCAAGACAGTGTTGCTTACCCTAGCTTCCTTAGGACACCTTGGCTTCTTCTCATGCCCTTGCTGAACCAATGAATGAAAATAGCATGTCATCTGCCTCCTGTTTTGGGAAGTCCCCTGTGGCTTGATGAAAGGAGCACTGGGATACTGCTCAGCAATACAGGCAAAACCGGGTGTTGAGCAGAAGGGCTTTGTTAACTCTGAGAAGTAGTCCACACAAGAAACACAACCAGGAGTACTAGCTCTATCATTATTGTAAGGTTACATTAACAGAATCATGTAAGACTGAAAGTATTTCTCTCACCCTTTCCTTTTACTCTCCTTTCTAAAATGAACCCCATGTTCTCCCTCCTTCTGTGGACCGAGATATCTGGATAATGGTTCTCCAGTCTGCAGCTTTCCCTCCTGTCTCCCAAGGCCATTCTCACATACCATTACAGATTTCAACTCAATGAACCTCTTGCCAAAACACAATTTGGCATAGGAAAATTGTTGCCCTTAAGATGTTTCCTCACTGTCCCCATTGTCTATGAAATCACGATGCTATGTAAAGAACAGATGTATTCTAATTAAGAGTATTTTATTGGAATGCATTTGGGGGGCAAAAACATGAGAGAATATGTATGAGTGAAAGAGCCTTTGTTGGGTATAATCTAATGTGTAAGCGGAAAATGCAAAATGGCACAAATCAAAAGCAAACATCGGCAGATGCTTTACGCATAATTAGTCCAGGAAAAATGAATCATTTGAAAGGCTTAGGAAGAACACAGCAGACTAATGAGAAAATAGGTGCCGTACTGAAATAACACCCTTTTCAATCAATGGGATACCAAAAAGGATTTATTTTTCCTGTTTTAGAGCCTATATTCACATAGATAGAAGAAAATATACAAATCAGATAAATATACAAAGATATACAAATCAAATAAATTGGAATCATTTTTTCTCCTGTCTGCTCTGCGGGTCACACAGTTCATAGAAACTTGGCACCTCTCTTAGATACAGGTAGTTGTTCGTTTAGCAACCCTATCTGAGACCAGTAATCTGTTTGTTTACTAAGTGATTACTAAGTGAAGCCTTGACTGTGCCTGTGATCTTACTTCAACTTATCTTTACTTTATAGATCTGCAAAGATCATAAATACACTATAGGAATTGGTCACATCACCATCATAATTGGGAATGGTCATATTCCAAGGCAGTCGTTAAATGGGGACTGTTTGTAGTCTCTTCCTTTTTCTTCTTCCTGTGAATTGTGGTCCCACTTAGCCACCAATGGATTGTCAGTTTACAGAGCAAGAACATCCTCTAGGGAACTTTTGGGACATAATGTTGGAGAAATTACTTGGGTTTATACTTATTCCAGAGCTGCTTAATTTGTATTTCCTATATCAATATATTAACCAGAATCATTATCCTTCAGGTTCTGAATTTTATGAAGCAGTTCTCCATTAAAAAAAAATGTAAAAAGGTTATGCAAAGGACACATGGGGTCCAAAATATATGCATGATGAAAATCTTTATAAAGTTTTACAGGAGAAGGGGGTTTAGTTGTGGAAATGGTTAAAAATTTAAGTTGAGATAAAAAAAAATGAGAACTCAGAATGGATAAATTCATCAGTATAAGTTACTTTGTGCTTGTAGATTGACAAGCAATAGCACTTGGACTTATATACCGCTTCACAGTGCTTTACTGCCCTCTCTGAGCAGTTTACAGAGTCAGCATTTTGCCCCTAACAATCTGAGTCCTCATTTTACCAATCTCGGAAGGATGGAAGGATGAGTCAGCCTTGAGTTGGTGAGAATCGAACTGCCGAACTGCAGGCAACCGGCAGGCAGCAGAAGTAGCCTGCAGTACTGCATTCTAACCATTGTGCCAACACGACAAGCACTCTATATAACTTATTGAGAATTAATCCATAGCCCACAGATATGCCATGAATAGTTTTTGGCCCTATTTTTAATTAATTGATTTATTTATATCCTATCTTTGATTTTTTTTTAATAAATAACTCAAGGCGGGAAACATGCCTAATACTCCTTCCCCCTTCCTATTTTCCCCACAACAACCCTGTGAGGTGGGTTGGACTCAGAGAAAGTAACAGGCCCCAAATTACCCAACCAACTTTCATGCTTAAAGTGGAACTAGAACTCACAGTCTCCTGGTGATTGGCCCAGAGATACCCAGCTGGTTTTCATGTCTAAGGCAGGACTGGAACTCACAATCCTCTGGTTTCTAGCCTAGTGCCTTAACCATTAGACCAAACTGGCTCTCTATTATTATCTTTCTCTCTTTCTATTATCTAGTCCAAAAATTGTCATGGTGAACTGGGAATAAAGAAGGTTTTATTTTTTTCAGATTGAAGGCCTTACTTTGTAAAGATAGTCAATGGAGCCAGGACTGTTGCTAAATAGATTCTACTTCCCATAAATTTTAATTTAGTTCAAACTCTGTCCAGCTAATGACATTATTATCCATTTCCGCCTCAATCACATTGAACATTATCATTTGAAAATGGCTTTTAAAAATTTGACCTTGCACCTTCACTTCTGAATTGTTGGTGCACGTGCTGGTTTCAGCTTTTGAGAAAACAGCTTGGAAGATGGACTGAAAAACCTTTTAAGTTCTGAAAGATTATAGGCATCCATGTTGAGTTTTTGCCCCATTTTACGACCTTTTTGTGAAGTGAATTGCTCTAATTCTTAAGTTAGTAACGCGATTCTTAAATGAACCTGGCTTCCCCATTTACTTTGCTTGTCAGAAGGTTGCAAAAGGTGATCACATGACCCCGGGACAGTGCAACCCTCGTAAATACATGCCAGTTGCCAAGTGTCCAAATTTTGATCACATGACCATGGGGATGCTGCAACAATCCTAAAGTGTGAAAAACTCATAAGTCACATTTTTGGTGCAGCTGTAATTTCAAATGGTCACTAAACAAATGGTTATAAATCAAGGGCTACCTGTAAATGTAAGAAGTGTGAGCTCTCTGGTCAGAAGTGGGACAGAGACAAGCATTAACAGCCCATATAATTCAATTTCCAATTATTGCTATCATGGCTGGCATTGCCTGACAATGTGGATTGCCTGCCATAGAGGAGAGCCAAATGCACTGTAGACTAAATGGATTGGGCTATAAGCGGATTGTCTGGAAAGGCCCCTCGTCGTCGTGTCTTAATGTTCCCAGACTGTGGTGTTTTCAAGTGTCTTATTTGTTTCTGTGTTGTATTACAGATCCCTTCTACAATCAGGTCTATCCATCAGGATAAAATCCTAGCACTTAGACAGCAGACTCAGTTCTTGTGGGAGGCTTATTTTTCTTCTGTTGAGAAGATTGTATTGACCACACTAGAGGTGAGTAACAATTTTCAGATAATAGCTGGAGCTGAAGCCTGGCTTTTCTGCGTATTTGGATTGTGTCTGGTCTTGACTTTTGCAGGTACTTAGCAAGGCAATCGCCTCTACAAAGAATCGGATGAAGGAGAGACTTTCAACTTCTTTATAACTTTTCTTCCCTGAGGGACAAGGGTCTTTGTCTCTGGGATTGGTGTAAGAAGAAATGACAGGCTGACAAATTGGCAACCATCTTAAGTTGCTAGGAAATGTGGTCTCTCGTAGACTAGAGGCTTCTTGGGATTTTTGATAGCTAATAAATCAACTTGCTTGTCATTGATGGTAAATGGGTTCTTTAAGACCCTTTCCTGGAAAAAAAAAATCATGTTTTGAAAAAAGTGATACTATAAAACTTTTCCTCTGTTCAGGCAGGCTTTCTGCTCCAAGATGTTTTCAAGGTCCTTGATGGATGTCTGGAGGAAGGTGGAAAAAAATTTGGGCTTAAGGCAGTAGCTATTTCAGATTACGGAGGCAAATGTCAGAAACTTAACTGAGAATTAAAATGAGTTAGCTGCGTTTTTAAGTGCCTTTATGTTGAGCCTTAGCTTGATTTTGCAGATCCTGACCTGTACTCTTTTTTCCCCCTCAATTTCTTCATGTTAATGCTAAACCATGATTCAGCCTTGCATACATAAGCACAGACTCCAGCCTTTTCTAAGTCCTGGTGTAAAGAAAGGAGAATAGATGATTCCTGTATTAATTTGATATTTGATTCTAGCAAAGCAATTCAATTCTTTGCAATCACGGATTACAGGCAAATGAGATTTTGACAATGCTGAAAAATGCTTTCCTGCAAATCTGCATGTAGCACATGCAATAGGAGTGAATTTCTTGAATTCAGTTTCTGAAAAAATCCCTCTCCCTGTTGATTCATCCACATTTGGAGTCAGCTACATGTTCCTTTTTTCTCTCTTCCTATAGCAAATTCCTCTCTTCCTGTTGTTTCAGTTTTAATCACCACCATAATGAGTTCTCTCATTAAGTAAAAATATTTTTCAAACTGATTTCATTCAGATTAGAACTGATCCAACGGAAGCAATGGCTTTAGATTAGTCTTGATTCTGGCCCAAGATTATATTGCATCTATACTTATAACAGGCTTATAATGACAGGCTTATATGATGGCATCATTGCTAGTGCAATCTCATCCTCTGCCATCCCCTTCTGCTTTAGCTTTTAATCTTTCCCAACATTAGGGTCTTTTCCAATGAGTTCTCTCTTCTCATTGGATGGCCAAAGTATTTGAGCTTCAGCTTCAGTATCTGTCCTTGTAAAGAATAGTCAGGGTTGATTTCAAGATTGATTGATTTGATTTCCTTGCAGTCTAAAGGACTTTCAAGAGTCTTCTCCAGCACCACAATTTGAAACCTTCAATTTGGCGCTCAGCCTTCCTTACGATCCAATCCTCACACCTACACATTACTCCTACTCCTGGGATGATGGCATCTCTGCAGATACAGTTCTAAGCCATGTTTAATATTGACAGAACAGACTGAGGCAGCTGAGAAGTTAGCTTTCAAGATTAAAAAGTAAATTTTCCAGGATCCAAAGTCAACTCAGCTCTTGGTGATTATCAATACGTCCATGCAGTTTGTTTTCTTTCCACCCAAAATAAAAAAAAATGTTTTTTCCAGTGCTTCTTCTGAACAGTCTAGTCTGCAGATTCCTTAGTGGTTCCCATTTGTGATTCACCAAGGTTAATCTTGCTTAGCTTAGGCTAGACAAGGTCAACTAACTATTGCTATCTGCTCAGGAAGATTGTAAGAAGTTGCTATTTTATCTGCTAGTTTGTGTGCTGCTATACACACTGTTCTGCAGAGCAAAACGAGTTACATTTGAAATGTTCTAATATTTGTTTCAGTACTAGATATGACCTATTTTCATATATGCTAGGAAGAAACTTCATATTCGCTGTGGTTCCTTCGGTATCCATTAAAATTGTACTATAGGCTACCAAAATAGCACCTTGTTCATATAAACTGGTTCTTTTAAAGCAGTGCATTGCTGGCTGGGGGATTCTGGGAGTTGAAGGTCACACATCTTAAAAAGGTTGGGAAATATTATTTTAAAACAACCTGTTGAGGACTTCATCTTTCACTACTTGGTCAGTCCTCCTAGATAGGAATTTTCCTTTTTTTAAAATCTTTGATTAGCCATAGGGATGTTCCTTTACCTGGTGGGATGAAGGTAGAACTGAATGAGTATTTATCCAATTCATATTCCCACAAAAGGAAAAGGAGCTGAATTAAATGAAATGCAATCTTCACCTGCTTTATGTTTGCTTGACTTCGTGAAATTAAAACCTATATAACACCAGTTTTAATACTGAAAGAAAAGAGAGTGAGACAATTTGCATATTCAATGTGTATTGACTTAATTCAACAGAAATATCCTCATCCCCATTAAAAGTAGATTCATGACCCAGGAGTGTGGGAGGCGAGGAAAAGAATTGATATCAAGATAGAAATGCACCCTTTGGAACACATTTTAATTTAGAGTCCTTTTATGGGGGAAAAATCGTTATCTCATTCAGCCCAGTTTCCGGATTGAAATTTCCTTCTTCAATCCATGTAGGCTACATGTTTACTTAATTAGTAAGTTTACAAAAATAAGCTTTTGAGTCCCCAGGAAGAGTGGAGGCAAGCCAAATTGACACAAATACGTTTGACACAAATTCATTTTTAGACCAAACTTTCAGCAGTGATTAAAAAGGGGGGGGGGGAATGAAGAGCGCAAATTGCAAATGGCATTTAGCGATGGGTGTGGAGCTATTTTTCCTTTGCAATTTTTACGGCTAGCAAAAGAGCTGTAAATTGCCTCTATTTTTGTCCTTTCCTGTATCCTTTCCTACAAAGTTTCCCCAGCCTTTTGCACGATTAAATATTGTTTTCAGAGTTAGAATGGTTATCTTGTTAAATTCGGTGCAGCCTTTTAAGATGGTCCCTGATCCATCAAATAACAGGATCAGTTTGATTTGTCAGCCTGACCTGTAACTGAAAATACCTATCAGCAGTGGCATTTGGGAGCTGGTTTCAAAGTTAAACTGCTCTGAGTCGTAGGAAACCATATAAGAGGGTGTTCTGTTTTAAAAGGAAAGTTGTCCTAGATATGATGGTCTCATTTTTGGGAGAAATCTTTTCTCTGCGGTATCAGAGGGCAGCTGTATGTGGCACTTTCGCAGAGGTAATTATTTGTCACTGAAAAAGTGACAAATAAAATATTAGATAGTGAACTATGTTAACCCATCTTGAGTTAAGTCAGACGATGGACATGTTGAATACAGTATTTGTTAAACTAGCCAGTATTAGCTTTTTTAGTAACAGACTAGGGTGTTTCTGGATTTCATTGGAAAGAGTAGGGATTAAAATTTAGGGCATTTTGCTATTGAAACACATAATTTGTCATAGGTTAAAACAATAAGTTGCAGATAGGCTCCAATGTGACCACATATAAACCAACCTTTGCAATCCATGTGATTTATTTTTCTTCCTTTTAGATTATTTACTATTACAAAATATTTAAATTGGGAGCTGGCGTGCTGCAAAGCAAAACACCAGCTTGTATTATACTCTTTATTTATAGAAAAATCTCTGGATACTACATAGTCCCCATGGGTATGTTTAAAAAATAATTAGTTAGCGGCAGCCTATGATGTTTTGGAAATGTAATCAACTGTTTAGAAAAAAAAATTAAGCAGTGAGTTAGATGGCAGAGACTAATTGCACAATCCTGTGATTGTGTGTGTCCATAATAACAACCATTTTTATGAGAGGCCTAGTGGCTGAAACATGCCCTCAGAAATGCCAAGCAGACTTCAAAAAAGTCCCAAAGCTATGGTCCTTCCCTCTTTCCGCACACTTCATTCTTGTGGGCTATGTTATCACACTGAAAAAGTTCTGTAGATTGTGGTAAGAAACAAAGCTATATAGTCATTTCGTTCCTATAGGCAGGATATGATTTTTTATTTATGTATATTCCACCTTTATTTTTTCAAAAAGCAACTTAAGGCAGCAAACATATCTTAATACTCCTTCTTCCGCCTATTTTCCCCACAATAAGAACCCTGTGAGCTGAAGCGATAGGCTTCAGATGGCTTTCAGGCCATCAGAATTCACAGTCTCCTGGTTTCCGGCCTGGTGCCTTAAGCACTAGACCAGTGGTTCTCAACCTGTGGGTCAGGACCCCATTTGGGGTCGATCGACCATTTCACGGGGGTCGCCAAGCAAGGCTGTCCGCCATTTTTTTTGTCCGCCATTTTTTCCCCCTTTTCTGGCAGGTGCCTTACCTCCCTTGGGCTGGGCCAGCTGGTGGTCGGCCTGCTCCGTCTCTGCCGCTTGCCAGCTACACCTTGGCCGGCGCAGGGGGCGGAACCACGCATGCGCGGCGCTCCCAGGCAGGGAAAGTCCTCGACTTACGACTGGTTGGGTAGTCCTCGACTTACGACCAGTTTAGTCCTCGGCGTACGACCGGTTTAGTCCTCGACTTACGACCGGTTTAGTCCTCGACTTACGACCGGTTGGGGTCGCGGCATTAAAAAGGTTGAGAACCACTGCACTAGACCGTGTGGATAATGTGTTCTTTTTTAAACAGTTTGATAAACAATGGATGCCTAACTTGGAATCAGTAATGATTTAAATGAGGACCACTAAGCAGGTCTGAATCCTAACAAAATACAGAACCAAACCATGTTTCTTAAATTCAGGATTTAGTCATTTCTATTATTAAGGATCTTTGTTAGATGCTCTGTGATTGCAGTAGTTTTGGATAAAGAAAGCATCAAACTATCTAAGCAAAGGAGAAAGAAATACAGTAGTACTTTATTTCAATTAAGCAAGTGTACATATTCCAGTGTGCAGCTTGTCTTTTCAATGATTTTTGCAACATCATTCCTTTTCTCATTAGGGAGAAAATCCTGGATTTGTAGAGCACATTGAAGTGCCAACATCTCGTAATAAATATCAGAAAATAGGATTTCCCACTTTACTAAGGATATCTTGAGAACCAAATGTGTTCATTTTAAAACAAAGTAAAATTAAGGAAAGCTGGAATTCTCAGGTCCCAGATTTTGAATCCCAGCACAAAAACCTTACATTTTCTTCCACAATATCATGAAATTACAACAGTATTGTCACTTATTTTTTTTTGGGCCAGAGATGGAATACTTTCATTACAAAGTTTTCCATGCAGTTTGTATTTCTGAAACTACTATAATGCTATATTCTTTTTAGTCTTGGAAGGAGAACTGAAATAGTTAGGTTTAAAATCATTGCCTTTCAGAAATAGTTCTCATTCGGTCTGAAGCTACCACGGTATTTATGTTATATATTGATGGCAAAATTGCAGAATGAATCCATCAGTCTCTCCAATGACTTGTGCATTTTGGAAACTAGAACTATTCTGATGTTAGTTACATCCTAGTTTTTATACAGTGCCTGCAGCAATACATGAGATAAGTAAAATTCCTAACCTACGTGGATCATCTGGGTGGTGAAAAGATTCCACACCAATTCTAAATAAGCTGCCACTCAGTGACTTTGATGAAAGAGTTCTGGGTTTGTTTGTTTTTCTCATTAAGAGTTTCCTAAATATTGTTTTAACTTCTTGCTTTTCAGATTATTCAAGACAGAATATTTAAGCACATATCCCGTAACAGTTTAATATGGAATAAACACCCCGGGGGGTTATTCGTACTGCCGCAGTATTCATCATATCTGGGAGATTTCCCTTACTATTATGCTAATTTAGGTAAGTAGTATTCTCTTGAGGACCACACTGGTGGGGAAAATGAATCTTATTTCCAGCTGATGTGTAACTAACAGTCAGAAGCAAATGGAACCTAAGCTTTGCAATAAGGTGGCCCTCTAAACCAATGTAAGAACACAACTCTCAATGAAAGTTCTTTTACTTTTTTAGCAACAGAGTAGGAATTTGAGAAAATAGACTAGCTGCACCAAATCGCATAAGACCACAGGCTGCAACCAAAGATATTGTCAGTTTTCTGCCACAGTCCAGACAAGAAGCACCAACCAAGTACTAACACTACTTTATTGTAAGGTTATAGCAGGGCAACTTCAAACTTGGCAACTTTAAGACTTGGGGACTTCAACTTCCAGAATTCCTCAGCCAGCCATGCTGGCTGAGGAATTCTGGGAGTTGAAGTCCACCAGTTATAGTAATAGAATCTTACTTTTTCTCTCCCCAGAACTAAGGATGGCCCTTTCTGATAATGTTTTCTCTACCCTCCCTCCTTCAGACTCAGATTTTATTTATCAGATTGTTGTCTAGTCTGCAGCTTTTCCTCCTGTGTTTCATGATCAGTCCCACATAGCAGTACAATAGCCATCATTATTTGTCAAGAGACTAAGGAAAAATGGAAGGACAGGGAATAGAATCGAATGTAAAACTATCCAAATTGAGCAAATAGCTTTGAAAATAAATAAAAGAACCCTGATTTACCTGTTTATGTTTTCTCTGGCACTGTCCTTTATTCTAGATCTGCCAGAGCTTTTGGGCACTGAACCTGAATCACAGTGCCAGTAAGAAAACCACCATAGACCTTCTTCTCTTAAGGCCATCAGTCAATCAGACAAGTGACAAAAAAACTTTTAACTCTTAAGTCCCTCTGAATCACAAGTTGGTGGTATTAGATTATGGAGTAGTTAAGAGCCATCATTCCCATGATTCATTGTAATAGCAAATGGAAGATGGATGGCCTATAAATTTTATAAATAAATACATATTTAAATATTTAAATGATATTTAAATAATATTTAAATAATTATTTATTTGTTTGTTGATTTGTTTGTTTATTTATTTATTTATAAAATTTATAGGCCACCCATCTTATCTCAAGATAACTCTGGATGGAAGATATAAGGAGATATTTATTTTCCTGCTTATTTTTTTTTTCTTTAAGGAAGAATTGCCTTAAATTTTGGTCATTTTCCTTTGGATGCCGACATTCACCTTAATGATTTGATTTATTACTCCCAAGGCTCATCACAATAACAAAAAAGGAGGTTTTGCGGGTTTTTTATGCTTAATTTTTGTTTTTTCTACCTTTTTTTTTCCTTTAAGGAAGAAATGCCTTAAATTCTGCATCATTTTTCTTTGGATGCATGTATTAACTTTATAGATTGCCTTTTTCCTAAATATTTTACTTTTAAAACACCTGCTTTAACTTTTCCAGCAATCTTGCTTTTATTTATATATTTTGGTTTTTCAGCAGCTATGATATTGTTGGTTCTATGCCACACAGAGTCACATTCAGTGAGATGGGTGGCCATATAAAATTATTTAGCAAAAATATTTTTTTAAAAATGGGATAATGAGAGATTTACTTTAATTTGCCTCAGAATATGGTAAAAGGGATAGTTGGTTTTGAATTCAAAATTGTCTTCTTTTCAGGGAAGTTCATTCTTATGGAATCAGCTAGCATATAATAATAATAATAATAATAATAATAATAATAACAACAACAACAACAACAACAACAACAACAACAACAACAAAGTTGGAAGGGACCTTGGAGGTCATCTAGTCCAACCCCCTGCTCAGGCAGGAAACCCTATACCATTTCAGACAAATTTGTCTGATTAGTGCACTTTGTGTTGAGGGTTAAAGTCAACCAAAATATTTTAGAATTTTTAAAATGATTGGGCTGGTTCATTTTCTCTCATTTTCTTCTCAGGAGTCAAGGCCCCATCCAAATTCACCGCCATCATCCATGCAGTTACTCCTCTGGTGTCCCAATCTCAACCTGTGCTGAAACTCCTGGTTGCAGTAGCCAAATCCCAGCACTGTGCTCAGGTGAGAAATACAATCAAACTCCCAGGCATTGGCTGAAAATCCATATTTCACTGGATGCTCTAAGTTTGACTGGCATCTCTCAATTTATCTTCATCCACACTGGCAAAGCGTCTTATACATCAAATATGTTAAAGCCCATAAAGATGATGGAACTTGCAAAGATAACTAAATTCTTTGATTAGAGAAAAAAAACAGTATCTTCATGTATGATTGACTGGAAACCAATATAGAGTTTTTGCATCAAATTGAAAAATATGCACTTCTGATTTGTGTTTTTGCTGGTTAGAAAAAGACTGTATAATAGAAAAGAGTGAGCTTTCTTTTGTAATCACGGAATAAGAGACAACTGTAATTGTGCTTAATATTTGCTACAAAGGAAATCAGAAGCTTCTTCTGTTTGTTTTTATTCTTTCTTTCTGCACTTTTCCTTTTTCCTTCCTTTTTCTTTTCTCTCTTTTCTGCTTTTACTTTTTATTAGTTTGTATTAGTTTTTAAGTTCTTGGTAAAACTTTTAGTGAAAATTTATTTTAAAAATGAATAAATGCTTTAAAGGAGCAATGAATGGCCCATGATCTGCATGGCATGTGAAACCTCCCAGCGCCCATTTCATGGTTCTCATTAGGAAGAACCAAAATGTTCAGCCAGCTTTTTGCATTGGGTTTCCTTTGATTAAGGGGTAGACCTCTTCAAGTTCCCGGTGTGGTGAGTTTCAAAAGATAAAAATAAATGCCTCAAATCTCTTTAAGATTTAAAATGCCATCCACTTCCTAAAGAAGCACCACGAACATTTTGGACTCACTCATTTTGGGGACACAATGACATCACCACCCATCCCTTGAGTGGCCTTCAGAAGCCCCCAATCCTCAAGTGTGATCCTTACACTCTGTACATAGCTTAAGGAGACATTGTAATCTGAATTAATTACTTGGCGGCATATGCCTTACACTGAGTTGAACTTTAGTATTGTCTATTGCTGAATACAGGATTTTATGCTGTTTTCCACTCGCCCCTCTACCCTCACTAGAAGACACCAGTACAAAATATATCAAAATGAAAATTGTTTATGCAGGAGCGCTCCTTGAAAAAAAAATGGAGCTAAAAGCCTGTTTGCAACAAGACTAAACTAATCCATCCTAGATGGATAAACTTGGTCACTTCTCCTGTTTAGATTGGTTTTATTATCAGGCTGTATGATAAAAGAGAAATGAAGTTCGGCAATCTGTTTAAATTATGCCAATTAACAAGATTTGCATAATTGCTCTGAGACTAATTCAGTCTCTTAACATTTCTGCATAGTATACAGTTTTTACTGGGCTTTGAAAAGTCTAAAAAAAAGTGTGAAAAACACTGAAACTCATAACGTAATCCAACAACTTCTGTTCCTCTCTTCCATGTTGACTTTTAAGTCAGGAGGACTGGTAACTTGCAGAGATTGCCAGGAAGCCAAGTTCAATTCCTATAAGACATTCTGCATTTGTTCCTAGAGAATGGGGACAAATAAAGCTGCCCTGATGTTTCCAAAAGCTGAATTCTGCATTCGTTATCATGACACAAGCTCCCATTAAAACATGATCACCGCTGATGGGAGCACCCTGCTTTGATGTCAAGCTGTGAACACTTTGTCTCTTGTCTTTTGTCCAAGATATTTTTCAGATTGTCTTTTTAATGCAGTCCCGTCCAACTGGGACGACTTTCTTGTTGTTAGTCAGCAGAAGTAAAAAAAAAAAAAAGTTAATTAGCCACTCTTCTCTAGCTGGGAATTAAATCTCATTGGGGGACTTTTTGTCTTTTCATTCGTTTCTGGCTGTGAAGTTCTAGACTAGAGTGCAGAGCAGTTAGCTAAGATAGCCCTTGAGCCTCTGTAGGCTGTGACCTCTGCAAGCATTTTCCTAATGGAAAACCCTTCTTGACATTTCAGATCATTGTCTTATGGAATTGTGATAAGCCCCTCCCTGCCAAGCATCGCTGGCCTGCCACTGCTGTGCCTGTCATTGTTATCGAAGGAGAAAGCAAGGTACATTTTCATTGTTGTGGTTACTGTTGTTTGCTTTTTTTTTATTACAGCTACATGCCTTAATTCCCCCTGGTTCTTCTTACCTTCTTAATGCATCCTTCCTCCAGACTGAGGCAGAATAGATTGCATAGATACGTCTGGGCTCCCAGTAGTTGTTGTTTTTTTTAAATTGAGACTGGTTCCCACCTCACCTCTCTCTTACATATTTTGAAGGTCAGTGGGCCTTGGGAATATATAAGAGATTTAACAACTACAATTGGGACCAAAATTTCTGTTGGTAAGCACATCAGTTGTTAAGTGAGTTGAGCCTGATTTTTGCAAGGGTTTTTAGTGAATCGCTACTGTTGTTAACTGAATCACACCGCTGTTAATTGAATCTGGCTTGCCTGTGACCTTTACTTGTCAGAAGCTTACTGGGAAGGTCACAAATGACAATCACATGACACACACATACACACACACACACACACACACCGCCCGAGACACTGCAACTGTTGTAAGTACATGTCTGAATTTTGATCACATGGCCGTGGACATGCTACTGTGGTCATAAGTATGAGGACCAGCCATAAATCACTCTTTTTGGTGCCATTGTAACTTTGATTGGTTGTTAAATGAATGATTGTTAAGTTGAGGACCTAGCTGTATACTAGACTATCAATTTATCGGATTTGATGTGGCATAGTAGATTTGGAGTGAGAAGAGAAAAATAGATTTAGGCAACAATGAAAAAAATCTCCTGCTGACTATAATAAGTTATAGCTATACAACTGACTTGTACTTTACACCTGACTTTGCATTCAAGCAAGTTTATAATATGGTAGCAAAGTATCAGATCCATTATTCCTTCTCCATAATTGCGAAGTACTTGTACAACATACTTCAAGGAGGGTGCTGATTCTACAGTTTCATGCAATTTCATGGTTCTTTATTGAATTAGATGTCCCAATTGGAGGGAAAATGTATCTAAATTATTGAAGCTTCCAGGTATTTCTCATCTATCTAAAAAGAATGCAGGTAATATCTGTGCTTTTCTCCAATACACTAAATGGCCAATAAGGTGGCAGCTAAATCAGTTGTTGACTCAGATCTCAGGGTAGTTTGAGATTCACTCCAGGGCTGAGAGACAGAAGGTTTCTGTTTGAAGCTGCCCTCTTCGGCAGATTTGATTGCTTCCTTCTGTCTCCTTCCACTTTTGTTGTGTTGTTTCATGTATTGGAGGGCCTAAGGAAAGAATAGATCTTACAAGTTTCAAAAGTGCAGGTAAGCAATAATCTTGGAGCTTTTTAGGGGCAACAAAGAAATCTGGAAGTGTCGTCAAGAGAATCGTATTTCTCGTCCTGCACAGCAAATGGGGAAAAAAATATGTTTAGAATGTCAAATTGGCATTTTTTACAGTGTAAGCTAACTTGCTCAAGCATAACAATTTTGTCAAGCCTGACACCTTTCAGACACCCAGGATTATAGCCTCCATTTGCTTTACTGCTGAGAATTATCCAGGATTTGAATCAATCAAAAACCCCAGGGTGGCAAAAATTGTTATAAAAGATGCCGTAAATGTTTTCTGCCTTAGGACCATCCTTCCCCCTCAAAAAGCTATGTTCATGTGTGAATGGTTGAAACTCATTATTAGCACTCTATGGTAGATTCCTTGTCTTTCAATACTTCATCTTCATTTTTATAAAAACAAGAGAAAACTCGTCACAAAAATAGGTCTACCCAATATAAATGTTTTGGCTGACAAAAGAAAGATTTTTTTTTAAAAAAAAATACAGATTCTGCTGCTGTTTTTCCTTCTAGAAGTAGGAAGATTTAATGAGAAAAGTTAGTTGGCAAATCAGTGAAGAGGATTTGGGGGGGTGACAAGAAAGAAGCAAATCTGAACAAAACAAAAATCCAAATTTGTTTCATCACTCATCAGTGCCGATTAGATCATAATCTAATCAGCTTTCATACTTCATCAAGGTTGTGCCGTAGTTCTCAGAAAAATGTTCTCAAAATAAGTTTAGGAATGCACATTTTGGGATTCTGAGTTTGCACATTGGTGTGGAAATGAGATGAACTACATCTAGAAATGGCATGCAGCAGAAATGGATTGAATTGTCTGCCTGTGATAAATTAATGTATAGACACACAGAGAAGCGAGAGTGTCTCAAGAGAACCCAACAATATTCTTGTATCAACTACGGCTCACAAATTGATGTCAGGGTGGCTTGAAAAGATTAATGCAAAATCCTACACAGACATTGTATTGTCTTAGGAATGTTGTAACTTGGAATTTACACTCCTTTTGTTCGTCACTTCTTGTTTTCAACGATAGTATAAGGCTAGCTATAGATTTTGAAAACCAGCCAGTGAAGTATATTGGTTAGAGCATTAGATATTGCTTGGGAGGTATAAGTTAAAATCTTCACTCAGCCATGAATTTTAGCCCGAGGCACTGCGTTCGTCACTATCATTTAACCTAGCCTACCTCATCAGATTTTGATGAAGATAAAGTAAGAAGGAATTCTAAATGCTACTTTAGGCTTTGGGGAAGCATATATATCCTAAATATAGCTATGACTTATTGCCTTTTAATTATATAAAAATGGTTGGTTGGTTGATTTCCAAAAAATCAAACTAGAGCATTATGCATGACAACATTTGGGGTAAGGGAATAATGCGAACACATAAATCTAGAAGGCCACTCTTGCTGAAATTAATCAGGAGTAACATAATCACATTGTTAGGTCGGACGCAATAAGCTGCAAAGGAATTCAGTTCTTGCACATGAAGCGCTTTTCTTTCACAGCCATCCCCCCCCCCTTCCTCTCCCTTTAATGCTGTGGTAGAATGTTAACTCTTTGGGCTCAAGTATGGAGGTCCTGCCTGCAGATAAGTCTCAAGAGCTTCTCATCGACCCATCTCGTTCGCCCTACAGGTGATGAGCAGTCGCTTCCTGCCCTATGAGAACATTGTCACAGATGCTGTTCTAAGCCTCGACGAAGATACGGTGCTTTCAACCACTGAGGTGAGATATTTTACCTGTGGAGTGAACTGGCTCTCCCAAGTCATACTAGTATTTGATTTTCCTTCCTTCCTTCCTTCCTTCCTTCCTTCCTTCCTTCCTCCCTCCCTCCCTCCCTCCCTCCCTCCTTCCTTCCTTCCTTCCTTCCTTCCTTCCTTCCTTCCTTCCTTTTCCAAAGTCTATTTAAGGGCTTCTTGGTGCTCTCTGAGCTTGGTTGTTTCCTTTCAGATGTTTTATTACCCAAACTACATAACATCATCAATGCTAGTCACAAGTGGCCTTCTAGTAAGGACCAAGAGGAAAAACCACAGCCCTTACTAAAATCTTGCAGTCATACTCATCTAGAGGGCGCTAAGTTGCAGAAGGCTGCCTATCATATAGCACAGTGGTGGCGAACCTATGGCAGGGGTGCCAGAGGCGGCACTCGGAGCCCTCTCTGTGGGCACACGTGCCGTTCCCCCAGCCTTGCCTCCCCCTGCGACCCCCTCATCAGCAGCCCCCCCGGAGGAGAGTCGCCCCCGAGCATGGCCCACGCAGAGCAGTGCAGCCAAGGACATGGCAGCCAGACAGCGTAGACAAGACTCTGCCCTCGTGCCCCATTGCGCACAGTTGATGCTGTGGGGCAGGGCAGAGGGTGTAGCTGCCATGGCGCTGCTGGGTGATCTGCGGCAAGCCCTGGAGGTGGTGAGTGGCCCTGCGGGCAGGCAGGGTAGGAGCGAGGGCGGGGCAGGGGGTGGAGCGGGAGCAGGGCCAGTCCCTAAAAGGTTCGCCATCACTGATATAATATAACAAAAATTGAGGTAGGTGGCACTGCATAAATTGAGCATGGTCCACTTAGCTTTCATTGAAATCTGCTCTAGACCATATTCCAGATTTCTTCATTATTATGAAGAATAATAGTGGTGGTGCAGTGGTTAGAATGCAGTACTGCAGGCTACTTTTGCTGACTGCTGGCTGCCAGCAGTTCAGCAGTTCGATTCTCACCGGCTCAGGTTTGACTCAGCCTTCCATCCTTCCGAGGTCGATAAAATGAGGGCCTAGATTATTGGGGGCCATATGCTGACTCTGTAAACCACTCAGAGAGGGCTGTAAAGCACTGTGAAGCAGTATATATGTCCAATTGCTATTGCTATTCCAGTGAAGGCTAAGTGGACCATGCTCGATTTATGCAGCTACCTCAAATTTTAGTTCAAATGAAATGAATGGCCCTGTTTCTTAGATGACTAGAAAGAAATCATGGAAACATACCCTTCACCAGATTACAAAATCAACCTAGAACTAGTGTGAGATGCTGATGCTATTAAGAGAAGTAATCCTCACTTAATGACTGCAACCGGGACTGGCAACTCCATTGCTAAGTGAATGGTCATTAAATGAAATATCACATAAATGCTCCACTGCAGCTGTTAAATGAATCACCTGAGGTAACTAAGCGCAGTGTCATGTGACTGCTCCTTTCCACTGACTTCTGGCTTCCCCATTGACTTTTCTTGTCAGAAGCCAGCTGTGGAAGTCGCAAAGAGTGATCCCATGACTATAGGATGCTGCAGTTGTCATAAATGTCTGACAGTTGCCAGGTGTCTGAATCCCAGTCATGTTACTGCAAGAATACTGCTACTGAATAAATGCAAAAAAAGGTCACAAACAGATTTTTTTGAATGGTCGCTAAATAGAACAATCATTAACTGGAGACTACCTGTACTCAAAAAATCCCCAAGCCTCTAATAGACCCACATAAAGTGACTGAAATGTGATTTGCCGTGATGGTGTACCCTGATTTCTCTTTGTCTCTTTCCAAAGCTAGTAAAGGCAAAACAGCCCAGAGTTTCCTCCCTAGGCTCATTAAAGTTTTGCACAAGATGACTGGGAAAAGTAAGAGATACCTTCTTGGTTGAGATTTATGAATATTTGCTTAATGTGGCCAGAGACGATCTGCACGGCCTGCAATGCAGTAGAACTTCTGCAGCTCTCTTAGAAGCAAGGGGGCCATGTTGCTTCATGGAGCAGCTCTAAGGAAATACTGTTCTTGCAAAGATTTGAACAGCCCAGTATCTGTTTTAACTAAGAGGAAGCAATAGCAATAGCATCTTAGACTTATATACCGCTTCATAGTGCTTTACAGCCCTCTCTAAGCGGCTTACAAAGTCAGCATATTGCCCCCAAGAATCTGGGTCCTCATTTTATCGATCTCGGATGGATGGAATGCTGAGTCAACCTTGAGCCGGTGAGTCTTGAACTGCTGACAGCCGGCAGCCAGCAGAATAAGCCTGCAATATTGCATTCTAACCACTGCACCACCACGGCTCTGCTGGCAACCTAATTCCGTTTTCCATCTGGAATTCTTGTGGTTTCATCTCAGCAATGCTTCTTGGTCTATTAGGAAAAAAGGTTGACTGTCCTATTGGGCCAAATGTAACATGGAGATATAGATGGATGTATACCAAATATTCACAAGTGTATACATACAGACAGCTAGTTTTTGTATTAATTTCTACTATATTCTGGTTTTTAAGAGCTGTGTTTGCCTAGCACTGGCCTGATATTTCTTTTGAGAAGCACCACACACAAAGCCTAGGTTACATGTCTCTCTTCCATACTTCAGAACTGCTGTACTAAAAGCAAGATTGCAGCAGAGAAAAAAAAGGCCGCTGGGATGGAGAGATGGGGGCAGGGAGCTGGAGATCAGGGAACCCAATGTAGAAAACCAATTTTTTTCAAGTAGGATGAGTATTGATTTCTCTCAACTCTTCCCGTAAAGAGATGGTGGGAACGAGCGACCATTTATATAACATGGCAATATATTGGAAATGCATTATTAATGGCAGCTCTGGAAAAGCTTTGAGTGTTTATTGTCTCCTTCAATTTCAGTGTGATTTTCCCTTTCTGTGTGTCTCTCTTACTTTTCCGTCCCTTAAAAAAAAAAAAAGCAAGTTCTTCTTTAGAATTTATTACTTTGGAAATAGCACAAAGAGTCTTCTTCCAAGACTCAAAACTTTAAGACCCAAAAGAGCCAGTTTGGTCTAGCAGGGGTAGGCAAACTTGGCTCTTTTAGGACTCATGGACTTCAACTCCCAGAATTCCTGAGTTGAAGTCCACGAATCATAAAAGAGCCAAGGTTGCCTACCCCTGGTCTAGTGGTTAAGGCATCAGGCTAAAAACCAGGAAATTGTTTGTTCTAGTCCCACCTTAGGCATGAAAGCCAGCTGGGTGATCAGCCCAATCAGCTGTAGGGAAAATAGGAAGAAAAATGAGCATTATATATATATTCGCCACCTTAAGTTGTTTATAAAAACATAATGAAAGCGAAATACAAATAAATAAATAAATAAAAATAACCCCATTCAGTGTTTCTGGAATCCAGTTGTTCCTATTATATCTGGATTTTTAAAAATATGTTTATTAACTCAAATGTACAGGTTCTTGCAAATGGTTAGAGGATGGGGCTATGTGTGTAACTATGTCTCTTTCTTCTCACAACTTCTGTTGAAGGTCCATGTTTGCTTAAACACAACTGTATTTCTCTTCTATCAGAGACATGGTTAAAAATAAAATCAAGAGGTTACCGTAGTTCAGTGGTTCAGAAGTCTCTGTACATGCCCCACAATATCTCCCTACTACCTGGATCGTAACAAAGCTTTGTCCAATCAGCATCTTATTTCCCACACGGCTCAACCAACTGTTCTGAATCTGGAAGTTCTATGTAGATTCTAATTTGACATCCCTGTTTTCTAATAATGAGCTGACCCTTAAATTATGCCAAACTTTAGCCAGGTTAAATTCTAATTTATTTTGAATCAAATGGAGTGTATCTAAATTACTTTATACAAACCATCTCTCTTTTTTGCATTTGGTGAGTTTTATTATTGCATAAGCATTGTACAAAAGTAAGGGATCAAAAAGGATGTAACATGTAAGATTATAGTGTAATAAAAATACATTGTAAAATGAATGTGGTTTTCCCCAACAATTCTGCTATTTAGATAGTTACACTTTGCTTTAAAGTTTTACAGGTAATGCTTATATCTATTAAAGTTAGTTTATCAGCTTTTTTTTTCAGTCAGTTTCTCTCATTTTTCTTTTTAAAAAAAACCCTCTATTCTAAATGTGTCAACTTGCCTTACTGTGTAAGTCGTGCTTGCTTGGAATTGGTTAGTCTTCTGTTATATATATTTCTCCCATGCCATGTATTGTTCCATTTTGGTGTGTCAATCTTATATCATTAGCCAGATTTCTCTCTTTTTTATAACAACCATCTATACTAGTGACCAATACTACATTCTGCAGATTTCACACAAGACTCAGGATCATTAGTAAGGAAACCTGGTTTAAATTATCCTCTCCTATCTTATGTCCTGTGGAAGTTTGCTAAGTTAAAGCTCCCAGAATTCCCAGTGAACCTGAATAATAAATTAAGGGGGTTATTAGCTCAAGATATCTGAATGTCTACTACTACTACTAGTACTACTACTACTAAAGTTTTGTTCCATACAGTATTAACCTTGTGAACTCTAAAGCTTCCTCCTTCCATTATGTATTCAAGATGGACAGTGATTAATATTTATATGTTACTTACATGTAAGGGTTAGGTCTATACATATGTTGTATATAGTATATTTAAATATGTGTTATGTATGTGTACACTTTGAGAGCAAGCAACCAAATTTCATTTTTAATGTGTGTCATTGTGCCCACAGTAAAAAATGACAGTTAAATGATGGTTATCTATCTGTCTGTCTGTCTGTCTGTCTATCTACTTACCTATCCGACTGAATAGTAATTTCCCAGCTTTCAAATATGAGTGATAAAACTCAGAAAAGCCTCAAATGCTTCTTCATTTTTACCTTTAATTAAGGTTTTAGCTTTTCATTCCTAATATAATGAAATATTAAGCCATCCTGCACAGTGGGTGGCAAAATCTCTATGACTCATAATTAGAAGTCCATGTGGATTTAAGGAGGAGTGTTGGCTGTCTTAAGAGGTTAGCAGGTTGGCTAACTTTCTCTCCCACCCCCACCCTCCAACTCAATTATTCCCTATTTGGTTCTCTACATTAGCCTTAATAAGAAACTAGGAATCTTATGTGTGGTATTGAAAATTCATTTAGCATCTACAGCAAGGGTCTCCAAACTTGGCAACTTTAAGACTTGTGGACTTCAGCACATCTTCCAGGAGTCTTGTAGCTATTCATAGCTTCATGGTAGAACAAAGGGTTCAGTGCAGAAGATTCCACATTTAAACTTTGGCATGTCCAATTGAAACACTCAGGAGCAGGTGATGGATAGATCTTTGCCAGGAAGTTCTAGAAGGCTAGTAAAGACCAGTTACTTTCTTATCTCCTCTATGGAAGAGACACCCCATGCAATAAATTAGTCTGGAACAGAATTTGTTGTTGACAAGGATTTGCAACTGGATACCCATTTCCCCATTACATTTCATCCGTCTAATGATATTGCCATATGCCAGCCTGAAAAATTTCTAGCATGCTTTCTAGAGTTGTGTCTAGTTAACATGGGTTGTGATGATGCCAAAGTACTCATAATTTGTTCCTTGGCATTCCTTGTTTTTGTTTTAAACCCTCGATTCATTGTTGACTTCTGGGGATTGCCTGGAGTGGCCTCTGCAGTTTTCCTGGCAAGGTGTTGTTGTATCTTTTCAGAAGTAGTTTGCCATTGTCTGCTTCCTAGGGCTGAGAGAAGGTGACTGGCCCAAAGTCATTCAACTGACTTGGTGCCTAAGGCAGTCTAGAACTCACAGTTTCTCATTTTCTTAACTGCCTTAACCACTACACCAAACTGGCTCGTAGTTCATTTAGGTATTTAAAAGCATCAAGCTTATGGGAAGAAAATGGCACATAGGCACTTTGTTTGGAAGTGCACCAATCTGCCCCCAAATTAGTGAAAAGTAACTTAATGGGGTAAAGAACATTTGAGGAAGCTAGATGCGATGGTGTGAAACAACCTCAACAGTCAGACTGCTGGTAAATGGCTTTTGTTTGATTTGTTATGCCCACCATGGTAGCCATTTTGTGAATTAGCACACCCTTTTGGTTCCAAGGATGTCTCTTTGACTCAAAAAAGTTGCCTGAAACCACCAGGAAAATACATATTATAGGTAGTCCTCAAGTTACGAACATAGTTGACCCCAAAATTTTTGTTGCTAAGAGAGACAGTTGTTAAGCAAATTTTGCCTCATTTTATGACCTTTCTTGCCACAGATGTTAAGGGAATCACTGCAGTCGTTAGGTTAGAAGCATGGTTGTTAAGTGAATCTGGCTTCCTCATTGACTTTGCTTGTCAGAAGGTCGTAAAAGGTTATCACATCACCCCAGGACACTGCAACTGTCATAAAATGAACCAGTTGCCAAGCATCCAAATTCTGATCACATCACCATGAGGATGCTGCAACGGTCATAAGTGTGAAAAGGGTCATAAGTCACTTTTTTCAGTGCCATTGTAACTTTGAACGGTCATGAAATGAACTGTTGTAAGCTGAGGACTACCTACAGTAAACGTTAAACAGAATTTTAATGATGAATTGCTGATTTATGGTTGCTTTATTGAGAATCTGTATGCCCCCCGAACCCGAACAATAGAGAAAGAGTATTTATAAATGTAAAAATTAAAGTCAAAAGAACAACTTTTCATTTGTTATGATGAAGTCTTCACAAACCCCAGTAGGATCCTTTATCTATATCTAACACAACTGTTCCTTCCTTAACTTAGCTTTAATCCTTTCAGGAAAAACAGATATTGGCTTTTATATAAAAGATGTTAAAGTGTCTGCTGATTTTCTGATGTATTAATAATTTGTGATCAGAGCTGTGGCAGGAATAATTGTTTTGTCTGAACTGTAAGCATTTCATGTTGTTTGAGCAACTTGAAGGAAGAGAATGAGCAGTAACTTAATTGAAAGCACCCTTCAAAGATCTGAATCTCCTATCAGGCATCTTTACGGCAGAGATGCCTTGAACCTCTAGTTTCACAATAGGGCTGGACTGCATCATGGTATTTATAATATCGATTGAACTCAAATGTTTGATTCGGTTCAAAAATTCAGTTTGAAGGCCTCATTTGCGCTGCTTGAATCTTCAGCTCAAATATTCCCACAGCCGTAGTAGGGCGTAAAATATTCATTATCTGTCTTGCACTAGCTGAAGCCAAGGAGAAAAGATTACAGATAAGGGCATGTGGAATTAATAATTCTGGAACATCTGTCTTTGGAAAACATCATTTTTATCATGATGTTCCCCATCCAGTGGTAAAAAGAGACATTTCCTTTCTCCTCTACAAAATGGACAGAGAATCACCTTACTGGTTCACTTAATAAACAAACAATTCAATTCCTATAGATACCCAGTTCTCCACTAGTTGTGAATGTTTACAGTGCCTGTGTCATGCCGGCAAAATGTTAATATGATTCTCTGGAGCTCTAGGCTCTTATTAACGGAAAAACATTAAAATGTGCATAATTACAGGGCAAAATGTCAAGTAGTCAGTTTAATTTACTGATGAATACAGAGAATTAATGTTTTGCAACAGTTCCAAGATTGCAAATTATGAATTAGTGAAAAGGTAATATTTTGTTTTGCTGACATTTTTGAGACTGTTTGATTACCACTTGCCATATCCATTTGGTTTGTCGTTTTTTTTTTCTTGCCTGCAGGTGGATTTTGCCTTCACTGTCTGGCAGAGTTTCCCAGAGAGGATTGTGGGTTATCCTGCTCGCAGCCACTTTTGGGATAACACGAAAGAGAGGTGGGGCTACACATCAAAGTGGACTAATGACTATTCCATGGTATTGAGTGGAGCTGCTATTTACCACAAGTAAGACTATTATGGGTATTTAAAGCCTGTTTTAAGGGGCGAGAGGAGTTCAACTATATTCTTATATTTATCTAGAGAAATTAAATTGACAACCTGTTTAGCCCTCTTCTACCATTTTATTTCTCCTGACGTAGACGTCCAAAGGAGAGTATTTATTTACTGAAAAATTATCTTTTGTCCATCTATTCTGTGTTGAGTTAAATTATAGAAACACAACAATCCTGGACTATATCTTATTACTTTTTCCATTTTGTCTTTGACTCCCTTAATTTTGCAAAACTTTGCAAAGCAAGTTTTGCTAAAACATCAAGGGTGATTCCTAAAGGATTAAAATTTGAGTCTCTCTTCTGCAGATAATGACTTTGATTCCTGGTTTTAAGATCTGATAGTCATTAGTGTGTTTTTTCTCAATTTCTTTCAAGTCACTTGTACTCTAAAAAAGCAATTTGATTTGAATGCTCTCTCTTAAGGGCAATAGCAGACTTCAAAAAAGCGCCTAAACTCTTCAAAAGGATCTGCCCAAATTTTCTTTGGCATCAAGGGAGAATGAACACGTCCTAAGCCAGTTGAGGTTTAGGTTGACTGCCCATCTTAATTCAACCAAATTGTACATTGGATAGCCTTTATAATTCATCTCAGTTTGTGAGTCTTCACGTTTGCTTGTTGGGCTTATAAGGGAGAGAAAAGCAAAGAAAGGCCTCTCTGTCTTTTTCTGTACAACAGTTGTTCACATTGTGTTTTCTCCCTCCTTTGAAAAATAAAAATATATCACTGCAAAGGAATGGTTGTCTGGTTTCCTTAGGGCAGTGTTTCTCAACCTTGACAATTTTAAGGCATGTGGACTTCAACTCCCAGAATTCCACAGCCAGCATTGCTGGCTGTGGAATTCTGGGAGTTGAAGTCCACATGCCTTAAAATTGTCAAGGTTGAGAAACACTGCCTTAGGGTGATGGTCAAACAGTTTAACTTACCTCTCTCCCTTCCACAATCAGCTAATGTTGCAACTCTTCTTCAGATCTCTTAGAGTGAGTGGTGGATTTCCAGAAACAGCTAAATAAGGTTAACAAAAGACATAAAAGTAAAATTGTGTAAATTTACTTTATCTACATAAAGTAAATAAATAGCCTTTGCCCCACTATGTTAGCACCTCTTGTTTCTCAGGTTTTTCAAGAAATTTTGAATTCTGGACTTCCCTTGTCATCAGAAACTGATACCATCAATAATTCCTTTTTGGACACTTTTTTTTAACCTGGTGGATATGACTTGGTACCAAAGTTCCTGTCATCTCCAGCCTGAATGGTATGGCCTGGAGCAAGCAGATCATTGCTCACTTGTGCAACATCTGTCCTCTTTCTCCATTTGGACCCCTTCCTCTCTGTTTGAGAGTTATAGGTTGCCCATTGCTGCTTTAGAGACTTCTCCCCTGGACCATTCCCTGGATTGTGGAATGGCTCTCCAGCCTCTTTTGAGCTGATGGGCACATATGGAATTTTGAGAACATCTCATAAGCACGCCAACAAATGGCTGCTTGGCCATTTCAAAATGGGCACAGGAGACTGAATAAAATGAAAAATATGGGTTTACCTGCTATATGGTACCCATCCTTAATTGCTGCATCCTCAAGATGCTTCTTTCTACCCCGGCATGCCCTTATCTTGGGTAGAGGCAGGTGAAAACATGCAAATCCAAGACCTAGCCTCCAGACGTTCCCCGTGTTTATTTTATGAAAGACCTCTGAGGCCCGTTTAAGACCCAGTGGCACTCTTGGAAATACTGATTATGCTGGAGGGTAATTGCTTTGCTTTGCACCATGCCCCTTTTCGTTATCTTTAATTAAAATATGTAAGAGATGTTAAAAAGTCAAATGGAATAGGGAGTCTAGGAAGTCCCACAGAAGACACTTTCGGGCATTTTGACACTGCTAGGATTATATAAGTACAGATCTTTTGCTTCTAGTTTGAAGAGAGATCACAACTTAGAATCATAGGGCTGGAAGGGACCTTGGAGGTCTTCTAGTCCAACCCCCCTGCCCAAGGCAGGAGTGCTTATGTTAATCCAGAGTTGCCCAACCTTTTCTTGAAAATTTCCAACGATGGAGCACTCTGGGAAGCAATCTGTTCCATTGATTAATCATTCTCACTGTCAAAAAATTCCTCCTTATTTCCAGGTTGCTCTGACAAGCTTCCACCCATTGCTTCTTGTTGTACCCTCAGGTACTATGAAGAGTAAATTGATGCCCTCTTCCCTGTGACAGCTCTTCAAGTATTGGAAGATTTTTATCGTATCTCCCCTAAACTTTCTCTTCATGAGAGTAAACATGCCTAGTTCTCTTAGCCATTTATTATACAATTTAGACTCCAGAACCCTTATCATCTCTGTTGCTCTTCTCTGCATTCTTTCTAGACCCTCAGCATCTTTTTTTGTTTTGGTATTGTGACCAGAACTGGATGCAGTGTTAGTATGCTTGTTGAAAAAAGTCCCAGCCTGCAGTGCATAAGATACATTGACAGTTTGTCAGCTGTATTGTTGCCTGAATTTCTGGGAACAGCCCACACTTTTGTTGAATGGACTTACAATCAGTACTAATGTGACAGCTTCCTACATTTCTAAATCTGTTGTGACCTTTAGTTCCTGCATACACTTTGAAAAACCATTCAATCCAATTTGGTGGCAAGTTCCACTGAAGTTCTGTTGGCTTATTCCAAGTAAATGTGTATACTTGGAATGCACATTGCCAGATTCTCACTGAAGGCCCTCAATTGTTGTGTTGCAGATATTATCACTACCTGTACACTCATTACCTGCCTGCTAGTCTGAAGAACGTGGTGGACCAACTAGCCAATTGTGAAGACATTTTAATGAACTTTTTGGTGTCTGCTGTGACAAAATTGCCTCCCATCAAAGTAACACAGAAAAAACAGTACAAGGAAACCATGATGGGACAGGTATGTGCAGAAAGTCTGCTTCAACCTTGGTTTGAAAATATTGTTTTAGGGGGGTCAAGGACTACCATAACAGCAATTCTCATAATAGTGAACAAAACTATCATGGAAAAAAAATTACACTTCCTGAAGATGGCATATGCTTAAGAGCACACATCTCTGAAAGTTGGATCATCTGTAAATAAACTCACAAAAAATTAAGTCCACAAACAACTTTAGAGTACCTGCCAGAATCCCAACTAATGTATTCTGACACCAGAATCTAAAGGATGTCAAGAGTGAAACTTTGGCAGCTACATGCTTCTGCGTTTCAACTTGCCTTTAGATAAAGGGGTGGGAGGTATTACTTTCAAGTGGGTAAGAATGAGAAATGAAACTTCTTTGATTCAGCTGAAGACCCTGTGGGAATCTGAAGCCTTGTCAAGGACACCAGAACAGCTGTGAATTTGAAGCAGACAGTTCCCATAACAAAGTGAATTTATTGATATGGATTATGTACGACGTTGGGGATTTGACTGGGAAAATTATTATTTAAGTCTATGAATTGGTGTTGGAACCTCAGAGTTAGTTTTACTTCGACATAATCATGCAGTGTATCCAGTAAACAGTAAACCTTTTAGAAACGGAATGATCCTGGAATTTTATAGGATTTTCGGGCTGGATGCTGACATAGGTTACCAAAGAGCCCTTGCTGGTAGATGTATGGTACCTATTCTTAATCTGTACTAATAGGAGTTCACTTATAAATCTAAAATAAAGCGCTATGTCTTTTTAAAAATGTTATTAAAATCCTGCAAGTGAATGGATTTAATAAAACATAAAACTTGGCGTTATTCAAAAATAGCCCGCCATCGTGATGTGAAAGGAGAAATGTTCACAAATGGTGCTGCAACAGATGTGGGTTTTCTATTTTAGAAATAATTATTTAAAGTCAGTTCTTGTAAGAACATGCAGGGGGGGGGACTTCAGAATTTTTCTCTCTGCCCCCCTCCCGCAAAGAATAGGATGCTTATGTTAATTTGGGGATGGCGGTGCAGTGTATAGTCTGTTGATGACTATTTTTCCATTTTTGCTTAAATTTAAGAATTTTCCCTGCAGATGCCATACATTTGAATCTGAAAAGCTAGCCAATTGCAATAATTAGGATTTTTGCTTGAGAAGTGGGGGGGGGGGGGCAAGTTCAGCTAGAATTATTTTCTTTCTTTTTTTTTCTGGTGCTTCTTTTGAGGTGGCTGAAACTTGCTGGTGAAATTGTTCTTTAATGGCCATTTCTATAAAAATTTATTACTGTAATTCTTAGTTGCCCTAATTCATAACTTTAAGCCACCGTTGGAATGACTAAAGATGAGGTATTGTAGGTCATTCATCTAGACTAGTCTCTAGCAGACAAACTCAGGCATTTGCCTCTTTTTAATTTTAAATTGCAATTAATCTGAAACATGGAAATAATTCAGAGATACAGCTTGAAGTCAGTTTGTTACTACTAACCCTAGTAAGGAGAATGATGAGGTCTCCTTGCTGTTACAGGGGTGGATGAAACTGTAGTTCACAAATCGCAAGTAGTCATTTCAGATGTTGCTGATCCAGATCTCCAAGAATTCCTAAAGAATAAGGCAAGGGGAGCAGGAAGTTGTGGTTCAGGAACATCTGGCAACTATGTCCCAAAGGTGCTTTTTCACAAGGCAACTGGACTTTTTTGTTTTTCCTTTGAAGACGGTTCACTTCTCATCCAAGAAGCTTCTTCAGCTCTGACTGGATGGTAGGGAATGGAAGGATTTATACTCCTTGCAAACAGCTGGTCGTTTGCATTCTTTTAAAGAGTCGTTGAGGCCACCTGGAGGTTTATCTGTGTTGTTAGAGTCACCTGAGTAGTGCAAATGTAGTGCACTCTAAAAGAATGCAAATGACCAGTTGTCTGCAAGGAGTATAAGTCCTTCCATTTCCCACCATCCAGTCAGAGCTGAAGAAGCTTCTTGGATGAGAAGCAAAACGTCTTCAAAGAAAAATAAGAAAGCTGAGCTGCCTCATGAAAAAGCATCTTTGGGACCACCATGACCTGGATGATTGAGAATCTCCATAGATATCTGGTAACCAACATTGTCTGTTTAACCCAGATTCACTATACAGATAGTTCTCGCTTAACAATCACAATGGAGGCCAGAATTTCCACCGTAAGTCTTTCAGTGGGTCACCATGTGGCTGCACTCAATTTTTGTTTTTACAAGGGTTGTAGAGCAAGTCACTGTGGTCGTTAAGCAAATCACACGGTCATTAAGCAAAATCAGCAAAAAAATGCAAAATTGCAATCACATGACCATGGGATGCTGGTTGTAAATGTGAGTTGGTTATCTAATACCTAAAATACAATCCCATGACCACGGAGGGATGTGCAGCAGTTGTAACCTCAAAGACAGGTCATAACTTTTTTGGGGGGAGCGTTGTAACTTGGAATAGTCATTGAATGACCAGTTGTTAAGTGAGGGCTGCCTGTAATTTATCCTGATAATGCTGCATTGTGATTTACAATGATGTATTTATTGAATTTGTATACAACTGTGGGAGATTCACTAGTAAAAACATACAAAAATAAAAGAAAATAGATAGTCCTCGACTTACGACCACAATTGAGCCCAAAATTTCCATGGCTAAACAAGACAGATGTTAAAGGAGTTTTGCCTCATTTTATGACCTTTCTTGTCACAGTTGTTAAGTGAACCGCTGCAGTTATTAAGTTAGGTTGTCAAGTGAATAAGGTTTCCCCATTGACTGCTTGTCAGAACATCACATGAGCCCGGGAGACTACAGCCGTCATAAATACAAGCCATAATTTTGATTGTGTGACCCTGGGGACGCAGCAACGGCTGTGAATGTAGAGAATGGTCATAAGCCACTGTTTTCGGTGCCATTGTAACTTCAAATGGTCACTAAACAAATGGTTGTAAGTCAGGGACTACCTGTAGAAGGTAACATGAACCAGACAGGGATGAAAAAGAAAGAAGCCCATGCAATCACTTGCAAAAGTCCTGGATGAAGAACTTCAAAACACAAGGAGGGTGGAGGCCATCTGGATCTGGGGGAGCGATTACTTCTTTCCACTGCTGCAGACAATAGCCACGCTGAGATCACAATAGATGGCATTGTTTAATTTGAGGAATCCATAGCGTACCAACCTTGCTAGATCAAACTGGCTGGACAGATATTATGGAATCATATGCAGATGCACTTACTAATTCCAGACTTTAGATATAAATGGAAACCACATATGTTTTTTTCTGAGAGTGAAAATGAAATAAAAACTATAAATGGAAGAAGGCTCAAATTAAGCAACCACTGATGTTGCTGGCACAGAAAGCGTACCAGTTAATGTGATTTTATCTTCTAAACAAGTGGCCATTTGTCATTTAAGTGTGTTCTGAGTGTTATGAAGGAACCCCTAAAAGCTCATCTCAGCATCTCATTCTGCTTCTTCTATCTAACCGAGCACTAATAAATTAATGCAGTGTTTCTCAACCTCAGCAACTTCAAGATGTGTGGACTTCAATTCCCAGAATNGAAACTGAATTAAGGTGCTAAATCATCTCTCAGTTCTCCTTCTCCCTAACCCCATGGACTAAGATGTAATTATTGACAGCCCATATATAAAACATCTCCATGGGTTTCCTGGTTTATGTTTTCAAACATGGAAGATTGGAAGGATTTCATAATTCAACGATCCCACTGTCTAGAATTGTGAAGCATGGGGGGGGGGGGGGAACCAGAATACAGATAGTCCTTGACTTATGACCCATTTTACGACTTTTCTTGCCACATTTGTTAGGTGAATCACTGCAGTTGTTAAATTAATAACACGGCTGTTAAGTGAATCTGGTATCCCCATTGTCTTGCTTATTAGGAGGGGTGATTAGGGGTGACCCTGGGACATTGCAACTATCATAAATAGAGTCAATTGCCAAGCATCCAAATTTTGATCATGTGACTATGGGGATGCTGCAGTGGTCATAAGTGTGAAAAATGCCATGTCATTTTTTTCAGTGCTGTTGTAATTTCGAACAGAACAGAATAGAATAGAATAGAATAGAATAGAATAGAATAGAATAGAATAGAATAGAATAGAATAGAAGACAGAGTTGGAAGGAACCTTGGAGGTCTTCTAGTCCAACCCCCTGCTCAGGCAGGAAACCCTATACCCGTGGTGGTGAACCTATGGCACGCATGCCACAGGTGGCACGTAGAGCCTTCTCTGTGGTCACGCGCGCCATCGCCCCAGTCCTAGGCCTTCAGCTGGGTTTTATAAAACCTTTTCGCTTTAGGCCTCCGCCCCCGTGTGCAAAAAAAAAAAGGTTCAATCAATCAATCAATTTCAACTTCTCGCGGTGAAAAAAAAAGATCTCGCAAAGTTGGAATTGATTGAACTTTTTAGTCCCAGCCAGTCTGCCGTTACCACCGCAGCCATGCCCACCCAATTGGGCCACGCTCACCCGGCACCTGACGATACATAAGTGGGTTTTTGGTTGCAGTTTGGGCACTTGGTCTCTAAAAGGTTCACCATCACTGCCCTATACCATTTCAGACAAATATGAACTATTATAAGTCGACTAATTGTAATTGGAAGATGGAATTTTTAAAAAACGTTTTTTCTATTATTGTTTTTCTTTTTTTCCTTTAACCCTTCACATCTGAAGGTTAGCTGTAGCTTCATCAAAGCTCTGATCCTGGTGTCACCCAATGCACATTGGCTTGACTGTGGGTTGGTGAACTGTTTACTGTCTCTGTTTTAGACTACTTTGACTTTTGGCATGGTTGAAACAAACTGTGGTTTATCATGATGTGCTATCCCAGCCTGTGAGGGAAACAATAACAGAAGGATTATCTATTATCCAGAATTCAATAGGATTTGGCTTGTCCTCCAATCCCTGAATTTCACAGTTACCTTTCAAACATTTCATGCTAGCAAGAAAACAGGAATAATAATAATAATAATAATAATAATAATAATAATAATAATAATAATAATAATAATAATAATAATAACAACAATAACAACAACAACAATAACAATAACAATAACAATAACAATAATAATAATAAAAAAGTTGGAAGGGACCTTGGAGGTCATCGAGTCCAACCCCCTGCTCAGGCAGGAACCCTACACCATTTCAGACAAATGGCTGTCCAGTCTATTCTTAAAAACTTCCAATGTTGGAGCATTCACCGCTTCTGGAGGCAGGTTGTTCCATTGGTTAATTGTTCTAACTGTCAGGAAGTTTCTCCTTAGTTCTAGGTTGCTTCTCTCCTTGATCAGTTTGTGTTCCAAATATCGAGTCCCTCAAAAATGAGGATTTCTAACTTCTAATTTCAGAAGCTCTCTGCTCACCCAAGGCGAGCAGGCAACAATTTCCCGCTGAGCCATTGATTCCAAAGATTCAAATCAAGCGATTTTTCACTGTCCTGAAGCTAAGCACAGGCAATGTGCATGTCAGCAAAACAAGGCCACTTTTATTACTGCCAATATAATGCTGCAAACTAATATTAAATGCAGATTCAATGCTCAGTGGTAAAATGGATACAATCTGAAATTTCTTTTGATTATAGAAGTCTGCATTTTGCACTTTTAGGAGGACGAAAGTCTTGGTGGGGGGTGCGCTCTGCCTCACACAAATGAGGAAGGAAGAAATTTTGTGTTTCTTCTTAGAAGGATCAAGATTTCTTCGGATATTATTTTGTTAATGACCTTGATTCGATTTTAGATAGCCGTGGCAGCGCAGTGGTTAGAAGGCAGTATTGCAGGCTAATTCTGCCGACTGCCAGCAGTTCGATTCTCACCAGCTCAAGGTTGACTCAGCCTTCCATCCTTCCGAGTTTGGTGAAATGAGGACCCAGATTGTTGGGCGCAATATGCTGACTCTGTAAACTGCTTAGATAGGGCTGTAAAGCACTGTGAAGCGATATATAAGTCTAAGTGCTATTGCTATTTAGAACTCACTTTTTTTTTTTGGTCTCCTGACCCCAAAAGGCAAAAAATTGTTCTGGAACAATGGAGAAAGGTTGGAGAAAGCTTCAAAGATGCTGTTCTGAGTTTATGTGCAGCCTGGGGTCTTAACATTTTACATCCATTTAGTTGAGGAAGGCACAGAGTCAAAGTTTAATGTCTAGTTTAATGTCTAGTTTAATGAAGAGAAGGATGAGGGGTGGGGGGCATGATAGCAGTGTTCCAATATCTCAGGGGCTGCCACAAAGAAGAGAGAGTCAGGCTATTCTCCAAAGCGCCTGAAGGCAGGACAAGAAGCAAGGGATGGAAACTAATCAAGGAGAGAAGCAACCTAGAACTAAGGAGAAACTTCCTGACAATTAGAACAATTAACCAGTGGAACAACCTGCCTCCAGAAGCAGTGAATGCTCCAACACTGGAAGTTTTTAAGAAGAAACTGGACAGCCATTTGTCCAAAATGGTATAGGGTTTCCTGCCTGAGCAGAGGGTTGGACTAGATGACCTCCAAGGTCCCTTCCAACTTTACTATTACTACTACTACTACTACTACTACTACTACTACTACTACTACTACTACTATTATTATTATTATTATTATTATTATTATTAAAGTTATAATGGCTGCTTGATTAATTTCTGCCTGTTACCCATCCTCTGTTCCCAACTATCATACTTGACTAGTAACTCTACAGACTGGTAGCTGTGAGTAGGTGTTTTCTTACAAGAAGCATTTCCTCTGTTTGAGATTTTAAAGGAGAATACAAGTAGTCCTCAGCTTACAACCATTTGTTTAGTGGCCGTTGGAAGTTACACCGGCACTGAAAATGAGACTTATGACTGTTTTTCACTCTTAACAACCACTGGAGCATCTCCATGGTCACATGATCAGAATTTGGATGCTTGGCAACTGACTCATATTGATGATAGTTCCAGTGTCCCAGGGTTGTGTGATCATTTTTTGCGATCTTTTGACAAGTAAAGTCAGTGGGGAAGCTGGATTCGCTTAACAACTGCAGTGGTTTTCTTAACAACTGTGACAAGAAAGGTCATAAAAATGGGGCAAAACTCCCTTGACAACTGTTGTGCTTAGCTTGGTCAGTAAGTCAAGTACTACCTCTATTGGAAGAACGATGTCCCATGAGTTTTGTTATATCAGAGATTAAAGTACAGCAGAGACTTAAAATATTTGTGCCACGATGTTATTTGCACCACTTTACATAATTATAACAGTGACATCATCACGAAAAGGATATAAATGGATGCCATTGATGTCACTAGGAGAGGAAATTTGGTGCGTTGCATGTCAGAGCTGTTGCATTGAGGTGCGGGTAAACCAAATTTCACTGTACTTTTTACTTTGTGTTCTTATGCACCTTGTGTACCTTCTTTGAGAAGAATTATGGTGTAGGGATTAGAAAGTTGGCCCTAGAAGGGAAGGTCCATGTTTAAGTTCTCACCCCCTGAAGCTAAATGGCAGAGTTTGGGCTCATCCCTGCCTCTCAGCCTGGTCTGTGGGATTGTTGTGAAACTAAAACGAGAAGATAGCAGCATACAAGGTACCATGAATGTCCCAAAGGTGCTTTTTCAGGAGGCAACTGGACTTTCTTGTTTTTCTTTGAAGACCTTTCGCTTCTCATCCAAGAAGCTTCTTCAGTTCTGACTGGATGGTGGGAAATGGAAGGATTTATATTACTTAGTTAGTTACCACCTTTAAAACGCTCCATGGCATTGGACCTGGTTACCTCCAAGACCGCCTTCTGCCACAGATTTCCTCCCACAGACCGGTACGCTCCCACAGAGTGGGTCTCCTCAGGGTGCCGTCGGCCAAACAATGTCGGCTGGCGACCCCCACGGGAAGGGCCTTCTCTGTGGGTGCCCCCACCCTCTGGAACGAACTACCCCCCGAGATCCGGATGATTCCGGATCTCCTTACTTTCCGCCGCGCCCTCAAGACATGGCTTTTCCAGCAAGCGGGCCTGACCTAGGGTCCTAAAATCAATCCCTACTAAAATTATATTAAAATTAATGCTGTGTCGATGATTATAAACCGATTTAATTTGGTTTTAGAGGGGTTTTTATTTTGGTATTTATTTATTTTATTGTGGTATTTTATTGTTACTTGTTTTTAATATGCTGTGCACCGCCCTGAGTCCTTCGGGAGAAGGGCGGTATATAAATCAAATTAAAAAAAATAAAAATAAAAATAAAAAAAAAAAACTTGCAGACCGCTGGTCATTTGCATTCTTTAAAAGAATGTCTGCAAGCTGTCTGCAAGAATATAAATCCTTTCAGTCCCCACCATCCAGTCAGAGCTGAAGAAGCTTCTTGGATGAGAAGCAAAATGTCTTCAAAGAAAAACAAGGAAGTCCAGTTGCCTCCTGAAAAAGCACCTTTGGGACAACCATAACATGGATGACTGAGAATCTCCATAGACACGGCACCATGAGTGTTTGGAGAAAAGACAAAGTATGAGTGGACTTCAGAAATAACAACCTGTTTAAATCTGCTGCCAGATTAACTGGGGTTTGAGCACTTTGCTTAATCCTCATTATATTGGTCTGATAGTCAGAAAACTGGAGCTGAGGAGGCCTGTACCCCAAAACACCTCATAGATGCAGTTGGCAGTAAGAATTGCTTCCATTTGGTCTAGTGGTTAAGGCTAGAAACCAGGAGTCTGAGAGTTTTAGTCCTGCCATAGTCATGAAAGGTGGCTGGTTGACTTTGAGCCAATCACCAGGAAACTCTGATTTCTAATCCTGCCTTAGTCATGAAAGCTGACTGGTCGACTTTGAGCCATTCAGTCTCTCTCAGCCCAACCCATCTCACAGGGTTGTTGTGGTGGGGAAAATACGAGGAGGAAGAATTATTATGTATGTTTGCTGCCTTGAGTTGTTTGTAAATATAATAAAGGCGGGGCAAAAAAAAATCTAAAAAAAAAAAAGAGTAGGCAATGAAGAAAAAATAAAGTTCTCTACCCTACTCCTCTAAGCAGCTACTGAAATATGGGCACTTCCATTGTTTTTCCGAGGACTATTCTGTAAAGGATCAAATTATTTAATCAGTCCAGCACTTCAGTGCTATTCTAAACATAATTTCCTTGGACCTCTCCCTTGTTCTGCTTCTGTCTTGTGGGTGCTTGGGGCAGGATAGAGGGGCAGTGAAGATTATAAAACTGAGGTAGGGATGCTCTGGTTCTTCACCGTTCTAGAAATTTTTTCCAGGTGAAAAACGGACTATGAAAACTTTGAAGAATAAACTGGCTTGTTTGTGTTTTGTTGCAGACTTCCAGAGCTTCTCGGTGGGCTGATCCAGATCATTTTGCTCAGAGGCAAAGCTGCATGAACACTTTTGCCAGCTGGTTTGGCTATATGCCGCTGATCCATTCCCAGATGAGGCTCGATCCTGTGCTCTTTAAAGATCAGGTCTCCATCCTGAGGAAAAAATATCGAGACATTGAACGACTTTGAGGAGCCCAGTTGAGGGGTGGGTGGGGGTGAGAATCGGATGGGTCACCTAGCCCAGCGCAGCAGAGCCACCCAGATCCTCGTCGAGTCAGACCACACCAAGAGCAACTCAATCCAAAAATTTCCGACACGCCAATGTTAGTAGCCAAGCGGCTCTGGACCCAAAGGGAAAACTGGTTGCGCTGGACTGCTTTGAAACACCCCCCTCAACGGGCTGCAGGTCCCTCAAGACTAGGTTGTGTACAGTTTCATTATGGAACATTAAATAATTATTTTTTGAAATGATTGCTATGCAGGTTTAAACTTTTTTAATGATAAAAAAAATCCCTATTAAAACAGAGTTCTTTCTTTAATCAAAATTGTGTTGGTTGTTGTGACTCTTTCAAAGGGGCTAGGTTTTCTAAAAATATTCCCATAAAAAGGCAATATATGTTGTTCTTTTAAGAGAAGAGAATTGTGTCTGTTTATTGAAAACGGGACCAACGTAGAAACATGCAAAGCACATTCATAAATACAAAACATGAGGCAAAACACCGGCACTTGTGGTTTTGCTCCAAAGGCCCCAAGATAGAAATCTGCTCCAGTCCACCTCAAGTCACTCTTTCTTGTTCCTTTTCTACCTCCCACCACAATTTCAGGACAGTGAAATGAGGGAGAGGAGGAGGGTCATTGTTCCCCGTTACCTGCCAAGGAGGGGCCCAAAGAAGCAGTTATTACTGCTCCAGTGCAAGGATTGGGGGCTCTTTTCTTTAAAATTTAAAATAAAAAGTTTGAAGTAGGCTTAGAAAAGTAGTGATTGCTAGAATTCTTGCAGTTCCTTCTGGATAGTTCCAATGCCTCGCTGAACAAAAGCTCAAGATTTTCTCTTGAGCTAGAAAAATGGTGATGTTTTTTCCTCCTGTTTCATTTTCCTCATTTTGAGATACAGTGTCTTGAAGAAATAAGATGTCCAATGGGGGCCATGGGTCCCAACAGCCAATGAATGTTGTGGGAACCTGCACTGTTTGTTTCGACAGTGATTAAAATGCAAAGTCTCCTTCAAGTCAAGATCTTTTCTTGATAGCTTCATGAAAGTACCTGGGACATTTTTCTGGCAATAATATGAATGTGGCTTGCCTATCCTTTCATGAATATTTTTGACTTCCAATATAGCTTCAATCCCTGAAGTTTATTGGATGTCTCTGGACCCAGATACTGGTCAGGTTTGGCCTTTCCAACTTTTGAGGAGCAGCCAAGATCAACTAGGTGCTGCCATCCATCTGAAGAGCATGCTCTGCCTATCTGCAGCTGTTTTTAGTGGACAGGTTATGATGTATGAACCCATCGAACAGAAGCTGCAGACAAATGAAAGTAGAATTTTCCCCAACCTCTGGCATAAAAACAATCTACCATTAATGTTCCCCTCTCTAAGCTTAGAAGTGTTTACTCAAACTTCCCTAAAGGAATTAAGAAGGTGTAAATAGAATTGAGAAGAGACATCACATATTTCCAAAATTATACAACCGTGCTAGCCTCTTAACCCTGATTTTTCCATTGAAAACACTTCAGCTTTTAAAGTTTAAAAGAGTTGCACGTTTCCTCCAAGGTCTAATGAGAGCCACTTGGACTTCCTCCAGAAGACCCATGCATCCAATATGATGATAATAATAATAATAAATTGCACTCATCATTCTCTTCTTGAAAAGAAGCACAAAGCTACACTCGCAAAATCTTCCTTAATGCATGGGGCAGATCCCTACAGAAGGAATAAATTATATGATATGCTCATTAATTAAATTTCAATTGTATTTTAAAGGGGCAGGGGGATTATAAAAGGAAAAAGGCAATAAAATATTAATATGAACTGCCTTGGCTTCTCAACAAAAATGTTGAAATTTGGCATGATTATAGCCCTCCACGCTATATGCTGCTGGCCTAATTTCACATACAAAAGACAAATGATCTAGATTTGGAACAGCTGTATCAGCACCATCTTGAATTTTGGGCGTAATATGGTTGAGTAAAAAGAATTCCAAATCAGCCACTCAAATACATAAAACTGAAACTTGAATTCTCCTGGAAGAGCCTTAAAACAATAACAATAACAACATGGTGGTGATAGAGCTCTGGTATCCCTATGGGTCCTACGTCCTTGAAACTTGCAATCTCAACAGATCTGGAGAACATCAGATATAGACAATGAGGGTAGATCAGGGGTCTTCAAACTTGGCCCTTTTATGACTTGTGGACTTCAACTCCCAGAATTCCTCAGCCAGGCACGCTGGCTGAGGAATTCTGGGAGTTGAAGTCCACAAGTCATAAAAGGGCCAAGTTTGAAGACCCCTGGATTAGATGAATGTGTAACGTTCTTCAAAAAATCTCGGTGCTCCAGCCATTTATTATGTCCACTCCCCAGCAAACCATCATTACATCAAAGCTTGATTTATCCTATTGACCTATTTGGGTGATCTGTAGTAAAGATAACTAATTATTGAGGTTTCAACATTACATCCATTCCTAAGGAGAAGAAGGAAAAGAAAAATGCAACAGCCCAAAGATATACATAAGGTGGCAGAGCACAGTTTAGCACTGTCCAGGTCAGTGTTCTGTAAAGTGTGTGAATGGATTGGATCCAAGACTTACTCATATCTAAAAAAGCATCTCCTTCCACTTGTATCTAGCTAAAAGAATTACTCTGCCTTCTCAACTCTGAATACCCTTCTCAGTTCTTGCTTTTTACAGATAGCTACAGTAATTAAGCAAGGAAAAAGAAAACAGATTCATTTCAAGATAATTTCAGGAACATATGGGGCATTTTCTCTTTTGTAACATGTTTCCAAGACACATCCAACCAGCTAGGGAACTATGTGTCTCGTAGACAACTTTGGAAAGGTTTGTTCCATATATGGCATTCAATTTTAAGGGAATATCCTCCTCCTTAGGGCTCCAGCCAGCATTGTCCCTGTTGAACTAGAAGACTTCACAGCCATGGGACATTTGGGGGACAAAGCTATTTCCAATAAAGGTTTGGAGCAAATTATATTTAGAAAGCTAACAAAGAACTTAGCAACAAAGGTACCCCTTCTTTCACTCAGCAAGTTCTTTCTCCTTGTCTGCATTATGTAGTTGTGTCTCTTTGTTACCCACTGCTTATTCTCTCTGGCTGGTTCAATAACATCCAAAGGAAAGTACATCTTTCTTTGCTAGTTGTTGTTGTTAGCCACACTGAATAATCAACTTATCCAATTTCTCTAATGGCCAAAGAAAAATCATGGATTTTTTTTTTCAAAAACAAATGCAGCATTGCTCTTATTAACATTATTTGGGTGAGCTCAAAAGACTCCAAAAATTTATTCCCACCATGATAACTGTGATCCCACCTCCCCTGCGTATAACGTGTGGTCAAATAATTATAAAAAATTAGAAAGACAAGACTTAACTGTGTAGGAATGATGTTGGTTCTTTCAACAGGACATCACCAGGACATTTGTATATTTTTATTAAAAAAAATTAATCCCACTTTTTATTACTTTTCAAGTACAGTAACTCAAGGTGTTGAACATACATAATAGTCTTTCCTATTTTCCTCACAACATCAACCCTGCAACCCTGTGTAGTGGGTTGGGCTGTGAGAGTGTGATTGCCCCAAAGTCACAGCTGTTTTTTTTCCATGCCTGAGGTGGGAGTAGAACTGTCAGTTTCCCGGGTGATTGGCCCAAANCAACGATCCCACTGTCTAGAATTGTGAAGCATGGGGGGGGGGGGGAACCAGAATACAGATAGTCCTTGACTTATGACCCATTTTACGACTTTTCTTGCCACATTTGTTAGGTGAATCACTGCAGTTGTTAAATTAATAACACGGTTGTTAAGTGAATCTGGTATCCTCATTGTCTTTGCTTATTAGGAGGGGTGATCAGGGGTGACCCTGGGACATTGCAACTATCATAAATAGAGTCAATTGCCAAGCATCCAAATTTTGATCATGTGACTATGGGGATGCTGCAGTGGTCATAAGTGTGAAAAATGCCGTAAGTCATTTTTTTCAGTGCTGTTGTAATTTCGAACAGAATAGAATAGAATAGAATAGAATAGAATAGAATAGAATAGAATAGAAGACAGAGTTGGAAGGAACCTTGGAGGTCTTCTAGTCCAACCCCCTGCTCAGGCAGGAAACCCTATACCCGTGGTGGCGAACCTATGGCACGCATGCCACAGGTGCCTTCTCTGTGGTCACGCGCGCCATCGCCCCAGTCCTAGGCCTTCAGCTGGGTTTTATAAAACCTTTTCGCTTTAGGCCTCCGCCCCCATGTGCAAAAAAAAAAGGTTCAATCAATCAATTTCAACTTCTCGCGGTGAAAAAAAAAGATCTCGCAAAGTTGGAATTGATTGAACTTTTTAGTCCCACCCAGTCTGCCGTTACCACCGCAGCCACGCCCACCTAATTGGGCCACGCTCACCCGGCACCCGACGATACATAAGTGGGTTTTTGGTTGCAGTTTGGGCACTTGGTCTCTAAAAGGTTCACCATCACTGCCCTATACCATTTCAGACAAATATGAACTATTGTAAGTCGACTAATTGTAATTGGAAGATGGAATTTTTAAAAAACGTTTTTTCTATTATTGTTTTTCTTTTTTCCCCTTAACCCTTCACATCTGAAGGTTAGCTATAGCTTCATCAAAGCTCTGATCCTGGTGTCACCCAGTGCACACTGGCTTGACTGTGGGTTGGTGAGCTGTTTACTGTCTCTGTTTTAGACTACTCTGACTTTTGGCATGGTTGAAACAAACTGTGGTTTATCATGATGTGCTATCCCAGCCTGTGAGGGAAACAATAACAGAAGGATCATCTATTATCCAGAATTCAATAGGATTTGGCTTGTCCTCCAATCCCTGAATTTCACAGTTACCTTTCAAACATTTCATGCTAGCAAGAAAACAGGAATAATAATAATAATAATAATAATAATAATAATAATAATAATAATAATAATAATAATAATAATAATAATAATAATAATAATAATAATAATAATAAAGTTGGAAGGGTCATCTAGTCCAACCCCCTGCTCAGGCAGGAACCCTACACCATTTCAGACAAATGGCTGTCCAGTCTCTTCTTAAAAACTTCCAGTGTTGGAGCATTCACCGCTTCTGGAGGCAGGTTGTTCCACTGGTTAATTGTTCTAACTGTCAGGAAGTTTCTCCTTAGTTCTAAGTTGCTTCTCTCCTTGATCAGTTTGTGTTCCAAATATCGAGTCCCTCAAAAATGAGGATTTCTAACTTCTAATTTCAGAAGCTCTCTGCTCGCCCAAGGCGAGCAGGCAACAATTTCCCGCTGAGCCATTGA